CCAACAAGGCGAGAGCGCCGAGCGCCAGCGGTACTAATGTGCCGCCAATTAACAGCGGAATAGCGAGGAGCCCGCCCATCTTGTTCTTCTTCTTGCGACCTGAAAAGGATAGCGCGATTTTAACAGCGACTCGTCCGACCGGAGAGACATCCCGCGGAGGATGAATATTACCGACGGTGGTTATCGACGATCGTTTATCGCTAATACTAACTGGTTGTTTCGTACGATTTATGTCGGTGTTTAATTACTTTTTATCCTATTTATAATGTTAATCGGAATTATCTCATCAGTTATGGCGAGCGACATGTCTATGTCTTTTCCTTCGACCTTCGTGTCTCTCTTTCTCCTTCTCTCTTACCTTCTTCCGTGAGACTGCGTTGAAGCTCGTCGACGTTCGGCAGTTTGAGCTTCAGAGTGTGGCTCTGGAAGAACTTGACGATCCTGTCGAAGATCATGCCGTTGAGAGCGTCTTCCTTGTCCTCGAGCGCGCGCGGCAGCTCGGCTTCGATCTCCTGCAGGGACTTCTCCGGCTCAGACTCGTTGGTGGCCGACTCGTCCTTCACTAGAGTGATGCCTTCGGCCAGATTCAGCTGTGCGCTTCGAGCGACCCTGTCCATGGCCGACACGAGCTTCAGCTTCAGGCAAGGACTCAGTTCCGCGCCGGAGCACTCCTTGTACACCTGGTAGACGTAGCGCAGGTCGCCAAACACACCGTTGCTATTCGACCTCGCGGTCTGTTGTTGCTGCTGTTGCCGTTGCTGTTGCTGCTGCTGCTGCTGCTGCTGCTGCTGCTGCTGCTCGTCGATGGAATTGGACGCGGGGTTGGTCTCGGCGGACCTCGCGGCTACCGTCGTCAGTAGCAGGGCCAAACACACGTAACGGCGCGCGAACTGCCTCATTTTTGCGCTTGCGGAGGTGGGAAGAAGCCTGGAAGAAAGAGAGATCATTCGTGAGACTTGGAGCAACGAAAGATCGATCTGTGCGTTCGGTCTCTCGAGAATCGAAAAGTACGGGTCGCAATCGTCGCGATCGACAAATTCCTTTACGCAAGGAAACAACCAAGACAAAAAAGGACACTCGTCGAAACTGAAACACGAGACACGCGACGTGACGCGACTTGATGACGCGTCGGGGGACTACAGTTTGCAGCGTTCTTTTCCACGAGATCGTCGGATCGGCCGCGATGATCACTTCCGACGCGACGTCGTCGTCTATCCGATCCAAATGGACGCGCGCTCAACCTGCTGAACTCTCTTCACTCGAGTCGGCAACTCGGCGAGGTCGTCAGATCCCGAGATACCGAGCACTGTGCAACCTCCAAAGTTCTCGAGCTTCGATACCGATACGCGAGAGATTCCGAGAGACGAGAACGCCCCGGGAGCGTCGCGTTGGCCGTCGCGAGGCTCGCGACGCGCCAAAGCCGCCGCGCGTGCCGCGACCGATTAGAGATTCCGATACACGCCGCGTGCGTTCGCCAGCGTGCGTACGCGAGAGATGCGTGTGTATACCTGAGAACACTCTAAGTAGACTGTACGTAACGGAAGCCCTGCCCTAGCTCTATATATCTGGTCAGGTATACCTCCGTACCGGGCGATATTCCCCCCACTCGGCCGACTCGGCGGTGTGCACCACCATTTTCATAGCCGAGCATGATTTGAGAGTAGTTGGAGTTTGCACTTACTAGACAAGCACCCGGGGAGGCCGCGAGTAGAGAGCAGAGAATTCCTCCGGAACGCTTCAAGATCTCTCGCGGCTCTCCCCTCGGTCTTGCCTCCTCCCACCAAACTGTCGACGCGCGTTCGAGTAATTCCGTCGTCGTCGTCGTCGTCGTCGTCGTCGTCGTCGCCGCCGCCGCCGCCGCCGCCGCCGCCACCGCCGTTGTCACCGTCGTCGTCGTCACCATCGCGCGCGCGCGCGCGCGGTTTTGCCGCTCTCGCACGCGACCGGGCCTTCTTCCATGTCTTCGTGGTAGTCGCGGCTGTTACTCGCTCCGTGCTCTCCGCCTCGCGCTCTCCTCATTGTCCGGACGTTTTAATTCGACCGGTCTAACCGCATTTCGGTCCGCTGTCCGCTCCGTGGCGTGCCGTTGTTCCTTTTACGCGCGGGCGCCTCTCGCACCGCCTACGCGCCGGCGCGGCGCGGCGGCGGTCGACGCGGTTCGCCGCGTCCGCCGACCGCCGACCCACTCGGCTCGCGATCTCTCGAAGAAGTCGATGCTGACTTCGAATGGGACTGAAAACGAAAGGGGTGCGACGGCTAACGACCAGCCGCACCCCCCGTTGCAGTTGGCCGCATTCCGCAGCCTCGCGCGAGGGCGACCGGTAGAAAGGGGGGTTGTAGAAAGCCGCCTCGTTCACCTAAGCGCCGATTTATATTTGATAACCGGAAGCGCGCGATATGAAGTGTGTTATTGGCACGATCGCGAGCGTGATCGCGTCGTCGCATTTACGACAGCGTAAAATCCGCCTCGTTCGAGTCGCCGGGCGACCGGTTGACTCTTAGCATCCTCCACGCGCTCGACCGGTGCCTCGATTATTCCGATCCGCTGCTGAGACGGCGCGGCGGCTGGGGAAGAAACGCTCGCTCGCGTCAGCGAGAGGACAGCTGGAGGTCGGAGCGGCGGAGGACCCTTAAACGGCGACGTCTTCGGCGCGTCCGGCGCCGATCGCGGACGAAAGCGCTCGTTACTCGGCGATTCGGTGCACTTACAGTTATGCCGCTGGCTGACTGAATCTGCGAGTCGCTCGCGACGTTTGCCTCGGCTATTAAATCAACGCGACAATGTACGTTCCACTTCTCAATGGAGGATCGAACAAGTGTCCGCCGCGGCTGCCTTTGCGCGCGCCGCGGCCAACGTAATCGTGCCATCGAAAAAGAGAAACGATGAATCGGCGAATTAACATATACCGTTACGCGTTAGGCACAATTTCTTCCCGGCCGCCGATTAATCATCTAATTCGCGCGCGCACGCGCGCCTTGGCCCTGCCACTGTGTATCCTTGGCTCTTTATTCTGGCGGCGCGAGACGCGGCTCGCGAAAACTGGGTCGGCTCAAGTGAAAACGCGGTTCGCATGCGGATAGCGGGCTTAGGTTTTTCCAGCAGCAGGAGGAAACCGAATGCGACGCAGAGGGTCGCCTGCAGAGGCCGGGGGACAAATTAATTTCTTCTTACTCCGCTCACTCCGCTTTCTTCGCGCGTCTCGGCGCGTTCCAACGGCCTCGGCGCGAAGGCCCTCGCCCCTTCGTCCTCGTCAATACCGCGAGTCGGGATTAACGACGCGTGACGATTCCATTAAAAGCCGCACGCGAGCGCGGAAAGCATCGCGCGACCTAACGGATGCAGAGAAGAAGGAGACGCGCTTCTCTCTCCTGCGTCTCCTCTCGTCGCGAGTCCGCTTGTTGTCGGCTCTGACTTTGCCGGAACTTACCTGCATAACGTCGTGTTACCGATTTCTCGTGCCGCGAAAACGATCCCCCAGCCGGCCGCGGTACGGCGAAAGCGACGGATCTCATCGTGAGGCCCTGTCCTCCTCCTCCTCCTCCTCCTCCTCCTCGTCGTCGTCGTCGTCGTCGTCGTCGTCGTCGTCGTCGTCGTCTCGCGACGAAGCGCGAGCTAATAATCGCGCTGCCAGCTCCGGACTCGCGGACGTTTCCGGTTCGCGGGGCCGCGATCCTCAATCCCATTTTGCACCGGCCGCCTCGCCATACGCTGATTTCCTCGACTGCGTGCGCCGATACGCGCGGCTTCGCGGCCAATGAAACTGTCGTTATTGTGCCTCCTTCTTCCTCGCCCCGGGGCCGCTCCGCACCGTACGGACGAGCGGAAGGAGCAACGTTACTACCCGCGGTATGCAGGTTACCAGTCGTGCAGGACGAGCACGGCCAGGACGCCGAATAGGTGCGGTCGCGTCGTGTCGCGTAGCGTCGCGTAGCGTCGGTGTCGCCGCTCGGCCGAGCTCGGTGAGCGCCGGTCTCGGGGAAGCCGCGGAATTACGAGCTTTTTAATTGCAGTCGGCTTGTAAGTGGCCACTTACCGTATGGAAATGGAGATACTCGACTTTGAACGCCGTTCTCGCGATACTCGCGGCTGGAGCCTAACGGTACCCTCCCCTCTCTCTCTCTCTCTCTCTCTCTCTCTCTCTCTCTCTCTCTCTCTCTCTGTCTCTCTCTCTCTCTGTCTCTCTGTCTCTCTGTCTCATCGCGCTATTTCGTGCAAATTCACCCCACTTCTTTTCTCCGCCCCATTTATTCTCTTTCTTTCTGCTTCTTCTTTTTGTGCGAAACGAATCTAGCTCCTCGCTTCGGCGACTTGCTCGGACGCGCTCGCGGTGATAAATTCGCGCGCGCTCACCTGCCCGCTTAATGAAGCCGCGAGCGCGGATCGCCTCGCACGAGGCTCGTTCGAACATACCGGATAATAGCGACGAGGAAACGAGGCGACGGGGCGAGAAGAGGGCGGGGCGAGCATCTACGCCGGGTACTGTTCGCGGCGTATCTCCTTGCGCGCTTATCACTCGTGTGTGTATTTGAGCGGCTCGTCGCATTCCGCGCGACCGAGCGCGGCCGGGATGCCGCGCGTTCCTCTACTACTTTCGCCCGTGTCCGTGAACTTCGGCCTATTCTCCTTGCGGAGCCGTGTAGCCGTTTATTCACGTGGAATGTGGTACGTGGCTGCGTATCCGGTGGCGATCGGACCGTTTGCTGCTCGATAGCCCGTCTTTCACGGGCCGCGCATGGCCGCGCGTTACGCCTCGCGACCACGAGTGCAAGTGTATATCGTATAAATAGAAGCGCTCGGTCACGGCCGCGGTCGCTCTCTCACCGGAGAAGAATCTCCGGCGGAATTGCGCCGGCGGGGGTGCCGCCGCTTGCGACCCTTGGGGGAGGGCAGGTAACGTCACACGTATACACACGCGTACGCACAATTCTTTTTCACCTTTCGTTCTTTTTCGGGGACAAGACGGAGGTGCGTCTCTCGTTTGTCGTCCTTTTATTATCAAAAAAAAAAACAAGAGAAGGACACACGCAGTCGGGTGTCGTATAGTGGAAGCACACAGTCGTCAAACGGTCAAATAAATATTAATAGATACAACGAGAAAATAAATAACGAACTCGCGCAAATCTACATACATGTATAAAACAATGAGCATTTCCCAGAGGTACTGGTGACTGGCCGTAAGGATGAGCCGACCGTTGCGCAGGATAGAGCAAGTAGGATAAAAGGAAGTGTGAGAGGCAGAGGCAGGCGGAAGAGGACGTAGGAGATGTGAAGATAAGCGCAGAGGCAAAGGGAAAGAGAAAGAGAGAGAGAGAGAGGGGGGGGGGGAGAGAGAGAGAGAGAGAGAGAGCAAGAGACAGGGGGAGAAAGAAACATGTAGCGGCTCCCGAGGAGGAGCTTCCGCGCGCGATGATTTCAGAGAGTCATGTGTCGTCGAAGGACTGTCGAAGGGAACGAGAACTAGAACGGAAAGTCCAGCAGTGGCAGCAGTGACAGCTGCCGGTAGACAGTAGCGATTGTAAAAAGAGAAAAAGAGAAACAGGGTACGAAATAAATATTGCACATTGCAGCGCGACGTGGACGGAGGAGAAGATGGAAGAGAGCTGGAAGGATCAGGATAACAAAGAGGCGCGAAGAAACGAGCGAAGCAGACACGAGCGAGACGAAAGGCGGAGGATGAAGGACGAGCCAGAGGGTTGTTGGAAAACGAGACGTGGGAGACGAGAGGAAGCGACGAGAGCAGCGTGGCGGTGGAGGGAGAGGAACGCAAGACGCGAGGTTCCGCAGGTTAATCGCGCGCGATCAGGCCTGCGCCTGCGGCTGGTGGGCGCGATAGGCGATCTCATGGGCGTCCTGTGGCAAACTCCTGGCCCAGCCGTGTCCGCTGCTGCCGGAGTAGCCGCCGTAGTCGCCGCCACCGCCGCCGCCGCCGCCGCCGTAGCCGCCGCCGTGGCCGTCGTCGTGGCTGACGACGTGGCTGCTGCTGTGGTGCGGGTGCGACACCACCTCGTAGGTCACGTGCTTCTGGTGCGAGCCGAGCAGCTTCTTCAGGCCGATGATGGCGGAGATGACGAGGGCGATCTTGCCCACGAGCAACGCCTTGCCGGCGATCATCGCGATCGCGCCTAGCGCCAGCGGCAGCAGCGCGGCCGCCTTCAGCGCCATCGCCATCATCAACGGCCCCAGGATCTTCTGCGCCTTCTCTGTAACGTCGCAAAGGTTTCGCGAGGTTTAGACGAATTTTGCCACGGGCGGACTCGTTCCTTCAAACAATAATTATCTTGCTTTTAGGGCTGAATTTCCAAACGATCGCGAGTTTTTGCCAGACGGGGTGGGATGCTCATCTTCTTTTCTCTCTTTTTGTCTTTAGGGGCGAGTTGAGATTCTCGACCGCCCGCTTGTGCTTTGCGGGTCGACGTCGCGCGTCGTTGCTCCGTTTTCGCACTTTTGCGGAGAGAACGGGAATCCGAGCGCCGACCGTGGAATGTAGTATAATACGCACACGTTTGAATACACGTTTTCGCTCCCCGATGCCAATTACCTTATTACGAGATGTGGCATTAAAGATATACCCGTTTCCGCGCAGCGGCAGCGCGGAATAATAAATGGCGTGTGCCGTGACTAGTTCGTGCGAGAAATGTATACCCGCTCTCGGCGCGCTTATTTATGCTTCCTCTCGTGTATTTACATAACTCGATAAGGGTATCAATCTCGAACGCGTGCGTATAATCGGCATGAGAAACCGTTGCGGCTCGATTTGAATGGGAAGTTAGAATAACGCTACTCGTTGTGCCGTGTGCCAAGAAATTATGAATGACCCGAGGAAAACCGGACTCTCGCGACGCCGATATGGTCGATATCTCGACAAGAGCCCAGACAATTTGCAAAATATCACGATGCGCGACTAACGCTATCCAGATAATCGAGATAATCTTGAGAAAAATTTTACGAAGAAAAGAAGGAAAAATAAGCCGATCGTCGTTATCCGTTCCCGTACGCTGTTATTAATTATCGGGTAACATGCGATTTGTGAGTGGATGAGCGGATACCGAGCACGTACACACACACACACACACACACACACACACACACACACACATATACACATGCGAGCGTGCGCACACAAATGATCGATCGTGCGTTATCGTGGGTGTAATGAAGGTCCTCCGTAAATCATCGCCCGCACACATGAGCGCGCTGCGGGATGCGGAATACCAGTATTTTTTAAGTGGAATAGTCGAAGGTCAAGGCGAAGTACCAGCACAGAGGATGGAAAGTATGTCAAAAATCTTGCGCGGCGGGATCCCGCGTCTCTCCCCGCGACGTCGTTCTCTCTATCGCTCCCTCTCCCTTCCTCTTTCTCTCTCTCTCTCTCTCTCTCTCTCTCTCTCCTCTCGCTATCTCGCTCAAGCTTTCGGTATATCGTCGGCAATCTCCTCCCGATTCTCCTCCGTCGAGGAGGAGGTTCAAGGGGAAGCGGAACCAGTTCCTCAGTGGGTCAACGTCTGCAGCCGGTATCGGCTTCCTCGTCGTCGTCATCGTCATCGTCGTCGTCGTCGTCGTCGTCTTCGTCGTCGCTGCGTATTCACACGCCGAGAACTCCCGTACCGCAGCTGACGTTGGCCTTGATGAACCGCGATTATCTCTTCTCGCGGTGTGCGAAAAGTCCGTTTCTCTTTTCTTTTTCTATTACATGTCCGCGTGTGATTTTTGCTATCGGGGAGGTCGCAAGAGCGCTAATCGATGTCCAAGAGAAGAGAGAAAAATAAATCAAGCGTGCCATCGTCTCATCGGATGCCGATGTGTGTGTAAAATGTATAATATGAGAATAAATCAAGCCAAAAAAATACGAGATAGCGTTAAGCGGATAAACTATGCGATGATGCGAGTGACGCGTCGCAAATTCACGTAATCAACACTGCAAAATGCACCAAACAAAGGAACGCGTCAACGTGAGGCACACGTGAGGGAAAAATCTGAGAAGGTATCGCGAGCTTATGTAAATCACGTACGACTGGCGTAACAGACGCGCAACTGGCCGAGGATTGCTCGATTATTGCGCCAGTTTCGCTTTCGCGGTGGATTCTTCTATTTGGCGAGTGCGAGCGAGCGCCGTGAGAGAAAGAGGAAAGTTCCCCGCGGATGACGAGCGCGATAAAACATAATCGGACGCCGGTGGTGTCTCGTAACCGGTTCCGTGTCATAATTAAGCTCATCCGAGGCTCAACGAGGAAGCCCCCCTTCCCAAGCTTCACCCTGCGTCTCCGTAGAATCCGGAATTCCGGATGGTGTATACTCACTCTTCTTGCCGCGACTCTCGACGGCGTTGTCGCTCAGGTCCTCGAAGCTGCGGCCGGCGGACTCGATCATGCCTAGGATGTCACTGCCCTTCAGGTCGACTTTGACCGAGTGCGTCCTCAGGAACCTCCCGAGACGATCGAACAGAAGCGTGTCCAAATCGCTGGACTCGATGGATCTGCCGAAAGACATGAATGGATAAGTGCAAAGCACTCCTGCGCGAGTTCGCCCGGCCCGGACAGCGCCGCGGCCGCGGCGTCTGCCTCAAGCGAGTTGTCCAATTCGACTCGACGGGAGTTCTCCCTTGTTTCATTCGACAGAGTCGAAGTTGGCCATGAGAGGGCTGACTCTCGCGAAGCTCGCACCACGCGTACAACACGGCGAACAACCGACCTTGGCGCACCCTCCTCGGCGTTGGACGTCTTGACGACGGTGATGCCCTCGGAGAGCGTGATGTCCTCCTTGTCGGCCAGCATCTTGTCCACGTAGGTGAATACTTTGTATTTGATACAGCTGACAGACTCCTTCTTCAGGCAGTCGGCGTAGATGGTCGCCATGAGATCATTCTCACTTCCGTTCTTGTCGCTGGTCGGCAGCGCCAGGCTCACGGCGGCCAACGCCGCCGACATCCACAGTAACGTCGCGAGGTGCTTGGCCATGCTTGCGTCGAAAAGCGTCCGTGAAGCTCCTCCGCGAGTTTGTGCTGCTGCGGATCCTTCGTATCCTGGACTGTGCGGCGCCGCTTGTCACGCACTTCTTACACGCGCTTCTCTCTCTCTCTCTCTCTCTCTCTCTCTCTCTCTCTCTCTCTCTCTCTCGTGCGGCGGACGCGTCCGTTCCAGCGCTACGATCCAAGGTGTACGCCAGGATCGGCCGATGCTGCCTCGTGTGTTACATCTAAAAGAGGTTGCTTTGCTTTTATACCGAAGTATCGCACGAGGGGAGCCCCCGTGGGCTCTCTCTCGTGCCACCGCGAGGGTCCGCGTTCGCGACGTACGCTCTCTCGTATCCCTCCTTTCGTTGTTCCTCTCTCGTTACCCCCCACCCCTTTCTCTCTCTTACTCCGTCGAGTGTATCGAGTGTACCGCGGCAGGACTTCCCCACGCTGGCTCCTTTCCTCCCTTTTCACGAACCTCTCTTGTCTCTCTCTCTCTCTCTCTCTCTCTCTCTCTCTATCTATCTCTCTCTCTCTTCATTCTCTCTCACATCTTCTTCCCTCTTTCGCTCGTCAGGCCGATATTATTTCGGCAAGGCAAAAAGCGCGCCGGCCGACGTCGATCGCGTGGAAAAACAAGCAGAACGAGGCAATGGCCGGCCGAGGAGAGCAAGAGAACTGGGAGGAGGGGCAGCGTGTAGAGCGTATGTATAGAAGGACGAGAGCCCGCGGATACATTCGCGAGAGATCCTCGCCGGGAGGATCTCCATAGCGAGAGAAATAGAGACAGAGAGAGAAATAACATGTACTCTCAAATTATACACGCTCCTCTTCGTTTGGCCCGCCGTGCGCTGAGCATCTCTCTCTCTTCCTCTCTCTCTCTCTCTCTCTCTCTCTCTCTCTCTCTCTCTCTCCCTCTCTCTCTCTCTCTCAACCTGCTCTCTTCCTACCGAGATGTCCAGCTGTACGTGTATTCTCTCACGCTACCTCGAGTCGGACCTACTTCGAGTCGCATTAAGAGCCGCCGATAGAAGGGGAGAGCCCTCCTTCCCCCGCCCCTAGCCGGGGCGATCAGCGGCAGATTCGATGAGGGAAACCTCGCGGTCTCAAGGGAAACCCGTGGACATCCAGGACGACGGAAAAAGTACACGTGAGATCCCGCATATGATTTGCCGCACCATTTCACCCGCTGTTCGACCGCTCATTCGACCGACACACCGGCCGTCTATGATTATCGCGAGAGTGTTGCGGGTGACTCAAATGACCGTCACGCGTGCGCCGGGCACGGGAGGGGCGGGAGACACGACAGGAGGAGGAGCAGGAGGAGGCACAGGCGCAGGTGTATGTGTGTCCCGATGATGTAGATTCGAGACGGCTAATCAAGGAATTTCAAAGTCGACCGGCGAGATTCATCGACGGTCGTCCGTCGTCGTCGCACACGTAAGTGTGTGTGTGTGTGTGTGTGCGTGGGTTGCTCGCGGTGTGCAATTCACCGCGAACGAAATTCTAGGGCTCGCGCGGCACCGCGCCGCTCCGCGCGATATCTCTTCTCCTCTTGGTTTATTCAAATAAGCGACGGCACAAGCGCGCCGACCGCTCCAGATACCGGCCTCAATGAGGTCGTGTAATTTTCGATAGGTGCCACCGAAGCGTTCGCCGAAGAAGGATCCAACATCGGCGGATGCGATTACAGACTCCATTAGCGACGGTTCGCGTCGTGCGCGCGCATGTGTGCGTCTGTGCGTCTGTGCGTGACTCATGGGCTTACCACTCGGGCTTGATTAATTCTTTGCTCCAAGTAGAAATTTAGCACGATGTAGTCTAGTCGCTGTTGAGCCACTTACGGTAAACTGCAATTATTTTCGCGCCTCTTCAGCGCTATCCTGCCCGCGCGCGCGCGACGCTCCGGTCGCATAAGACTACAATGGGCATTCTTTCCTTGGATTCGTCGTTATGAGGGAGTCGCACGAGGAGTCGTCAGCTTGTCGCCGACGCTGTGGTGGACGAGAGCAGGTGGAAGAGCGCGCGTCTCCATCCGGCCGCGCTCGCATTGTTCGTCCCGCCATTCGCCGATCGTCGCGAAATCGACCGGCGCTGCGTGTCGGGCCGTCTCCGAAAAATTCATCGGCGGATGTGACGAACACGTGAGATATTATCCCTGGAACGAGGTCGCTCACCTATTTATAACTGGGTCGAGTACTGGGCGATCGTTTTCGTCTCTCTCTCTCTCTCTCTCTCTCTCTCTCTCTCTCTCTCTCTCTCTCTCTCTCTCTCTTCCCCCTTCTCTCTCTCTCTCTCTCTCTCTCTCTCTTTCGGTCTCTTGCCTCCCTCTCTGTTCCACAGCTATCCCTCTTTCTTTCCCTCTTGCTCTCTCGCTTCTTCCCACGGTAACGACGTTCTCGATCCCGACTTCTCTCGGAGATCAAGATCCCCCGGTACGCGAGAGCGAGTGTCGCCTTGAGCGAAATCACACACCTGACGCGCGCGGCCTGTTGAACCCGGCGCGCTTTTTTAAAGACTCGCGAGAACAAAGTGCGCCGGAACGCGCGCGCGCACTCCCTCGAACAAAAGCGAGCGTCTCACGCTTCCTTTGGCACCACACACACACACACACACACACACACACACACACACACACACACACACACACACACACACACACACACACATACACACACACACACACAATGCGCGACCTGCGCGTGTGATCGTCGTTCTCACAAGCCCTCGAGAATGCCGAGCGACAAGCTCACCTTCGGCCTGGACGTCACGAGTGCGAGAGATTCAAACGGATCTATCGGGACGACCGGCTTTCTCCGCAGCGCCGTAAAAGCCAATTCGTTAGATAACACTTATTAATTCCGCGGATATCGACAGTGAGCCGGCGAATTGATTATCGAGACGCGCCGCCGCCGGGCTATATTAAGACATCTCATCAGCATGCGATCGCGTCGCGCATGTGAGTCGCGCTAAATCGCCAAGAAAGTCGCTCGTCGCCGAGGCTTCCTCGGGGAGGAAGGAGATCAATGACGCACAGGAGAGGAGAGATGTGCCGGAGCAGAGCGGCTCGAGAAAGAGAGAGTCAGAGTCGCGCGCTGTGTCGCGATACCAATTAGCCAGGCCGCCGCCGAAGGCAATTAAGCGCCGGAGCGCCAATTACATTTCGTCGTAGCAGATATATACCCGTCGAGCGCGACAACCCGACCCTGGCCGTGACTCGTCGAAAGTCACGGGAAAGGTAACGGTTGGCCGCCGCCGCGCCGCGATTGTTTCGAAATCGCAGCGGCCGGTTCTTCGGTGGAAGACACCGATTCCGGCCGTCCGTCCATGTGTGTGTGTGTGTGTGTGTGCGTGCACGCAACACCGACGCGTCTGTGTTAATGCGCAGCCGGCATTCGCCGGGATAACAGACCTTCCGACCGGCCTCCAGCGTTTCATGAATGAAATTGGCCTCGCGAGGATGAACGCATGGTGGAATTAGCCGCGAGTTGGCCGCAGCGTTGATTCGACTGCGCGCGGCGACAATGTCGAGTCGCGCGAGTCACGGGATCTTTTATCTCTCAGCCGGGAGGGCTTCTTACCGCCGCTGAAGAGAGTGCCAGGTTGTTTGACGTTTTCGCAGACGGACGCGTATGCGGTTGATTTCGACGTGCCTCGAATCGCCCCGAGTTACCGCGGAGAAACGCGTTGCCTCGCGTATGCAAAGTGGATCGAGTCGAGGGAGACCGCACGCGGCGCGTGCGCGCGCGCGCGCGCGCGCTCCGGCACGGAATGATGCGCGGCGGCACGACGACACGCGCCTAATAAGAAGCCAAGAAATCGAGCCATCGGCGCGCGCGGAAAAATCCGGTAACCCAGTGACGCATGAGAAACTCCGACCGAGGCTAATCGTGATGTGAGAACCGTAGCTGGATTCAGATGCGCGGGCAAAAGACGCGCGATCGCCGCGCGTCGAGCTTTACGACTCTCTAATAATGAGCCGTTCGGCGCTCGGCTACGAGCGCGGAGAAATTCCGCTTTTGTGCGCCTCGGCGAACGGTTCTATTCATCCGCTCGCGCATCCGTGACGAGCTGCGCCAGCGCCAATTTTCACGACCTTTTTTTCCTGCTTGTTCGCACCGTCTTTCTGCCGGAAGGAACACTGTCTTCCACTGTCGGCCGGCCCGGCGGTTGAGCGTTTCGGAAATCGCCAGGACACGCTGAGGAGCAAGTCCTGCCGCGTACCGAAGAAGAGAGAAGATGCGCGCGTCCCTCCCGATATCCTTCCGTTATCGACGTAGCGTACTCGCGCTGCGGCACAAACGAAAGTAATTCCTCTTCCTCTCGAAGCCACTTTGCGCCTTTTTCCGCCATTGTCGTCCTTCCCGGTCGCGAAGGCTGCGTCGCGGTCGTTGAATTTAACGAGGCGTGACAATCGCCTCCTTTTTGCGCGCCACTCCTCTCTCCTCGCGGATGATTTATCTCCCGGCGCGACTTTATCCGATCTGATCATTTCTTTCTTTCTCTCTCTCTCTCTCTCTCTCTCTCTCTCTCTCTCTCTCTCTCTCTCTCTCTCTCTCTCTCTCGGCTTTATTCAATTCCCACTCGCAAAATGTCAAACGCACAGTTGACAGTTATAAATTTCAGCAAGATTGATTCACGAGTTGCAAATCAACCGCTCGGTAATTCCAGTTTCCACTTGTACTCTCTTCCCAGCCAGACACGAAACAACCGGCTGGGCATCGCATCGCGATGCCCGCCGACGAGTCGGCTCGCGCGAACGCTAAACGATCCTCGTCGCCGGGACGATCGGCCGCGTCGTCCTAGAAAACGTCAGGCCGCGGCACATACTTATTGTCGAAGTAAAATTCTTTTTACCCGCCGGCCGGCCGGCATAGCGCGGAAGAAACGGCAATTTTGCCTCACAACCTCCTTTCCAGCTATTTATTTTTCTCCCATGTGGGACTGAGGAGGACATACCGCGGTCTCCGCGGAGATTTAGTGGGATGCCTGTCTTCCTCTCGACCCGATTAACAATGATGCGAGCGGCGACGCGACCTTCGCAACCGAGCCGCGCCGCCGCCGCCGCCGCTGCCGCCGCCGCCGCAGCTCCAGGAGGCAGTTCTCCGGCTGGATGCACCTGAGACGATGCACTTTCCCCTCATGGTGCGTACGACCGCGGCACCGAGAGCCAACCACCGGCATTTCCATCTTGTCGGCTCGATTTCGACCGGATGACTCGTCAACGAGAGCAGAACGCTCATCATCGTCGCCGCCGCCGCCGCCGCGGTTTGCATTAACGACTCCGAACGCGTTCTTTATGCAACGCGGCCGCCGTCGTTGTGACGAGTTTCGCTCGTGAGCGGAGAAATAAAAAAGATGTTTCGGGCGTCTTCCAGGAAGACTGGAAAGTTGCCGCCGCGTCGTCACGGTGTGATTTCTCTTTTTCGAAGCTTCTCGCGGGCTGCGAAGCCGCCGAGGCAAGCTCGAATGATCTGGCGAACTCGGCCTGCGACAATCAAACGCGTTATTATTAATCAAGTGCGCCGGGCGAGCGTCAACGGAGTCATTCGGCTATCGAGATCGTTCATTCAAGGAGCGAGGCGACTTTCACCGGCGGTGGCTCGACCGAGAGGACTCTTGCTGGATCGCCTTCCTCGGGGACGACTCCATCGTCTGAGCGCGATAAACTGCAAGGTGCATATTTAATCCGACGGGCGTGCTAGAATTTTTTACTGATTTTGCCATTCTTGAATAATTTATTAAAGTATATCATGCACATTTCGAAGACAAGTTTCGCTCTTTTTGATTCAAGACTCTTAGGAAAGAACAACAGTCGAGCAGCACTCGCGAAAAATCATCGACTGCTCGGTCTGTCCTCTTCTTTCCTTTTCTTCAATCATGAAGAAGGTATCTCGCTGAGAAGTCCCAGAGGGACTCTGGGATTACGGGAGGAACGGGAAGACACACGAGCGCGCTTTCATTCCTCGCACGAACAATATTATATATTAATAAAGTTGCATATTACAAAGCATAGAGAATCTCATAAGGAAACAGCCTCACGAGAGAGAGAGAGAGAGAGAGGGAGAGAGAGAGAGAGAGAGAGAGAGAGAGAGAGAGAGAGAGAGAGAGAGAGAGAGAGAGAGAGAGAGAGAGAGAGAGAGAGAGAGAGAGAGAGAGAGTGAGGCCAGCAAGTATTTCATACACATCGTATCAGACTAGATGTACCGCGTCGACTGGGTTGTGTGCTGCGACGAATCGCGGCCTCTCGCGCGGGAGCTCTCGCGCTGAGGCCCGCGAGGTCGCGACTAAGATGCATCCTACAATATATCGCGATTAACGGAGGCCCGTGTCGCGCGAGTTAGCTCAGCCTCCATCGGTTTATACGTGCCTGCGACTAGCAATCTCGGTTTGATTCGCTTGCGTTTCTGTTCGATCCATTCGCGCGCACGGGCGGCTGAGCGATTGATGCATTCGGTATGTACACCGCGGTAGGGCCGACGGCCCTGCGCGCGCCCTCTCGACCCACTTGAACGATTTAAATTAGAAATAAATATTGTCACGCTGTCGCGAACAAGGGCGGCCAACTGACGCGCCAAGCGTCCGAGCGGGAGGGCCGTTGTGGGCTGCCGTTCTTCTTCGCTGTTCCGTCCGCCGCTCGATGAGAAAGAAGAAGAGGAGGAGGAAACGCTGAAGAGCCGCCGTTAATGATGGTAGGTCGGGTGCACCTGGCCGTGCGCGTGAGGGTCTTCCCAACCGCCACCGCTGCTCCACCCGCTGTTGGAGACCACTGGAGCGGACCATCCGCCGCCGCCGCCGCCGCCGGACCAGCCGCCGCTGACCGGCGGGGCCCAGCCGTTGGAGTAAGAGGTAACGTCGTGGCCGCCGTGGTGGCCGTGGCCACCGCCCCAGAGCGACTTCATGCCGACGAAGGCGGAGATGGCGAGGGAGATGAGCGACGCGAAGATCGCTTTCTTCGCCAACAGGCCGGCGACGAAGTACGTGAGGGTCGCCAGGAGTCCCATTTTGATTTTCGCGGCTATCAACAGCGGCAAGATGCGCCTCATCTTCTTCCTCTTGCGGCCTGCAATGTCGGAAAAGAGAAGGTGAGTCGCGAGATGCTTCGTCGGCGATTTTATCGGCCGCCGTGGCCGGGCGGGATTGTTGTTGACGCTTGATTACCTTCGACCACCTCATCCACGGCCTGGCGAATCTCCGGAGGTACCGACTCGCTGAAGGCGCGAACCGATCCGCTCACCTTCTCGAAGGCCGACGCGAGGTTGATCTGCGCAAAAGTTCAGCGTATAGCTATGCGTGCACATATATGAGAGCAAAGAGAGAGAGAGAGAGAGAGAAAGAAAGAAAGAGACTTAAATGATCGTTGAATGATTGCTCGGCAATTACCGCAGATAATTAGCCAATTCGTGAATATGGATCCACCGGGGAATTATCGTGGATAATTGCAGATGATTACTAGGTGCTAGTCGTGTGACTGTGACAAAAGATTTACCCTGAGACTGCGGCCGGTCAAGAACTGCCCGACTTCGTCGCCGATAAAGTTCTCGAGGGCGTCCTGCCGCTCCGCCACGCCGGTGGCGGCGTCCATCTCCTGGTCGTGCGCGAGTTCCTTGCCGGACCTGGCGCTCCTGGCGTCGTCCTTGTTCTTCACCAGGCTGACCCCGGTCACGAGATCCAACTGCTGCTTACCGAAGAAGTCCTTCGCGCTTCTGTACAGGCTGTTCTGCACGCAGGATATGCTGTCCTGCTTGAGGCACTCGTCGATGGTCTGGCCGGCGGCGAGGACGAGCGCGGTCGTCAGGAGAGTCACTACGACGGCCGACGTCTTCTTCATGGCTACGTCGTACGGAGGGAAAATCCCACGGGGGAAACGGAAAGGGAGAAACAGAGAGAGAGAGAGAGAGAGAGAGAGAGAGAGAGAGAAAGAGAGACTGTTCGATAGATCGATAGATGACCGCGGATCGCGCGTGTGTGGGTGCGCGCTTGCAGGAGCGGTTGCAGAGGAAGTCACGACGCGCGCGGCGGAGATTAGCGTGTCGCGTGCGTGGTGAGAAATTTCGTATGGTCCATCGGACAATCTCTTTAGCTTATATTTGGCGGGCCCCTCCTCGACCGTCTCCACCGTTGACGCCCCACCGCCGCCTTTTTTCCATCCGTTTACCATGCGTGAATACGTGAGCGAGTCGTCAAGCCGTTTCAAGCTCACCGCCGGCGCACGGATGCCGGCGTTCTCGCCCAATAGACGATGGGTGTAGCTACGACGAGGTATCGACCACGCCGCCCGCCACCACGACGAGGCGACCTGCGACCTGCCTACGACGGAGCAAATAGAGGCCGGCCGCCGGGACAACGCCTCGAGCGCTGCCTAAAAAGAAGAACTTTCTTCAAACACACACACAACGCGCTTCTCGAGAGCGCGCCGCACCGACTGCGCCGCGATGCACCGCGCAAGACGCGAGGGCGACTTTTTAATCGGCTCCGCGCGCGAGCCGGTTCTAACGCGCCGCTCTAATGACACGGCGGAAATTGATACGGCACGGCGCTGGGCGAAGGATGTCGGGTCACAAGTGAAGTAGGAAGCGTCGTACGTTAGATGTAGGACGTCACTTCCTGTCTTGGGACTTTGGCTGCAAGATAACGCGATCGAAGGTGAAAACCCAGCGAGAGACGTCCGCGGACTTTTCCGGACGTTGGAGGTGTCTTGTGATTATCTTCGAGAGTACTCGTACGTATCTGGACAAGTTACATCTCAAATGGTTTGTCGAAATGTTACAATGAACGCGACGATCAGCACTAAGAGAGAAGTGTCGTATACTCGAGGAACGTCTTTGCACCCCGACGATAGTCCTTTGCGCGTGACATTCCCACGGCAGGATGGCCACTCGTGGCTTTTCCGAATGTGTGATCCGCACAATTCGAGTAACGGCAATAACTACAGTCTTAATTTGTCGTGACAAAGGAAAAACGTCTTTAGACGCGAGAGGTCACGTTTCGTCCGTCGTTTCCGCACAATCTTCATTGTTCATTAATACAAACGAGACGTCTAAATGAGTCTCCTGTTCAGTCCTACAGCGATGAATGTGTGCGGCGAACGTGTATGAACGAGCAAGTAATAATTCATATTGCACACACGGCATGTGTGTGTGTGTGTGTGTGTGTGTGTGTGTGTGTAAGGAAACGCTAAGCTAGTTAGATTTATTTCTATCCGAAGCCTCGCCGAGGTTTCTCGCCTGTCCCAATTACCTCTCGCACACTTTGGTATGTAAAATCGAGAATACCGAATGGGACCCGAATTTCAAGAATGTGTTAAATCCCGTGTAAACAAAACTTTCGGTGAGACTCCGGCCGGAGTCGAAGCGACGATCCCAGATACCGGGCCTGAATATTAACCGGCCCCCGACGCGTGGTCGGACGTGCGGCTTCGCCTATTAATTCGCCTTGTCCCGCCGTCGTGTCGTCTTCAATGAAGAGACAATCTTAGTAAGGAACGATCGATCAGCGAATACGCTCGCTCGGAGCCGCGAAAGTTACCTGCACGTCCTGAGTGGAAAGCGCGCGCGGCTGAATTAACGTCCGCAGGAACCAGTCGCGGCCTGAAGCCCGCGTGGCGATAACGCATTCATTACATGCATAGTTTTCTACAAACGCGTAGCAGCGTTTAATTAAACCGGTATTACGACCCTTTCCTCCACGTAAACGCGCGCGCGAGCGCGAGGGGAGAAGGGGGGAAAAGAAGAGGCGAGAAAAAAAAGAACGGAACGGACGGCGCGGCGGAACGACCGAGGAAACGGCGCGGCCTCCGTCTGATTATGTGCCGTCTTTTACTACTGAAAGCCTCATTCGCGCGCGAAATTGCCGCGCTAGACGACGCTCGTACGCTCTGAGTGAAAGAAGATGCGTTTAAAGAATAGAAAGAATTTTTTTTCAGTGGGTACTGATTATTCCGCAATACCAATTCATTATTAATGTTTACTTCTACCGATATATACCTTTTTCAAATGAGAAAATACATACATCTTCTTAAAATCGTAGCTTCTCACGATGAAATAAACGCTCATTCTACTTCAATGAAAGAATTTAGATTTCGATAAATATTTTATTAATATATATATCGAGTTTATCCTTTGGATAGCTTCCGAGTGAGCCAAGAGCTGAGCGAGCGCGAGGAGAGATAAGGACGATAATACATCGGAAAAAAGAGAAAACGCAAAAAAACGTCAGTTTTACCGCGTATATTTTTCCACGTACAATCCGCTCAACTCTAGAATAGCCCGATTGGTTTCCTGGCCGCCGATAGCAACGACCACGACCACGATGACGATCATTGTCCGGCTCGTGACGCAGTTCGAGAGGAAAAACCGCGAAACAATCGTGCTCTTTCCCGCTCGTCCTTTTGGCGCCGCGCGCGCCAACTGCGAATCGACTCGCACGATCGACATGAATGAAAGAAAACTAGCGTAGATCAGGTTCAAACATCCCGGATCCGACCTTCATCGCACACGACGGTGTACGTCGCGCGGCACCACTTTCTACTCTGACCCTGCGACTCTCACGGACCAACGTGATAACGTTGTCTCTCTCTCTCTCTCTCTCTCTCTCTCTCTCTCTCTCTCTCTCTCTCTCTCTCTCCCTCTCTCTCTCTCTCTCTCTCTCTTTCTCTCCCTCTGTCCGTCTTCTCGTTTTCGTTCCGCTCCTTCCGAAGCCGCGATCTGCACAAAGCACGGAACCTGATGACCGACGAAGCGAAGACATGCTTCGCATGTAGCAAACGCGACGAGGATTCGAATTTCGAGAAAGTGAAACCGAAAGTTCGCGGCGGAGATTTTTCGCCGCGTCTTCGCATTTTTCCGAGACAGGAGCGATGCAGACTAAACAAGTCGAGGATCGTTACATCTCGCGGATGTAACTCGGCCACTCGGTGACTGCACGCAACATGATTACAGTCTTGAAATTTAATGTCGTTAGTACGGTGAAAATGTATTGAGAGGTCAGAAGGAAATAATTCAATGGGCTAAAATTCAATTTTAAGGACGTACCTGTCATTAGTCAATCATGTGACTTCTTTCTTCTCGTGGATTTGCAGTGAATGTTTATCCACAGCCTGTTACATTTTGTCGACGAGTTCGAACGAGAAAGGAATAACTGAACGTATCAACTCGTCCGCGTCGTTTGCACGTTCGCATTCATAACTTTCTCTCATCACTCGCGTGTATTCACAGAAAATTACTCCGTGCGAGAGAAGTAAAGAGAGAAAAGAGAAGCGAAAGACAGCGGCTTAGTGCCCGATAGTGCTCGCACATACTTTCTCTCTCTCTCTCTCTCTCTCTCTCTCTCTCTCTCTCTCTCTCTCTCCCTCCCTCTCCCTCTCTTCTTCTTCTCTACAAATCTCTTGGTCGATTCGCCTACATAATTATTACATACGAAGTAACGCGCGAAGGGGCGCGCTCGATCTCGATCCGTAAGAAGGGATTCAATGCCGAGAGGCAAGCTCGACGGCGCGCTTCCCGCTTCCGATCTTACGTCAGTTCGCGCCATTCATCCTTTCTCGGTCATCTCGGGCAGCGCCGAGAGTCCTTTCGTCGATCCTTCACTCCCGGCCGGAAGAGCTGAAAAAGTAAAACCAAAGAGTCAGTTTCTCTCCTTCGCGCGCTTAACGTCACAACGATCGTTAAGCCGCGGGCGCACGCCCATCGGCCGGCAAAATCACTATACTTAACGCGATGAGGCGTTGCGCCGCGCGGATCGGACGTATCATTCCGCGCGGCTCAGTGAAATGCGAATTAAGAACGGATATCCCCATTAAACGGATTACGTCAACTCTCGCTCTTATCACGCGCGCGGCGGCTCGCGCTGTTAAGGCGTTTACACTGATTCGAGCAAAGTTGAAAGCCGTATCGGAAAAAGAGCAAGAGAGGACGAGAAAGAGAAACCTCGTGTCCGATTCAGCCCGCCGGCTTATCGATGCGGCGAAGCTTCAGCGAAACGCGCATCGATAACACGTATCACGTGCGTAAGGCAGTAGTAAAAGACGGCTACGTCCGTCCCACTTTCGATGCCTGCCACGTTTCGTTGGGACATTCTCCGAAAAACTCCTCCCCCCTTTCCCCCCTCCCCCCGAACTTTGATTAATTTTATTCATCGAGACCCTGGATGAGATTTTCACTCCCCGTCCGAATCTTTTCCACCTCTGATCTTACTTGTTAAGACCGATCGATGGATTTTTACACAACGATGGCGATGAAAATCTTCCTCTTGGCTGTTCAGCGCTCGGCTGTTTAGCGACCGTTTAACGACAGCTTAGCGACCTCGGTGCCGAGCTAAGCTGTCGCTAACACAGCCGCTTCGTGCATTACGGAATCCTCGAAAATAAAACGCGTCGGGGTGGGGACGTTCACCGACTTTCGTAGCTCGCGGTCTTTTTTCCTGACGAATGGGTCAATAGGTTGCGATCGACGTTGCTTCCCACGGAGCGCGGTTCCGTGATCGTGGCCGGAGCTTTCCAAAAAGCGTAAGTCGATTAAGGCCAGGAAGAGACGCCGCTAAGATACACGCCGTTAAGATACGAGCGTTGCTCAGATCGACCGATCGTATCGTTAGCCGCCCTAAATCGGCGAGAGCCGCTTCGCTCCGCGTATTCCAGCTTTCGAACTAGTAGCGGGCAACTAGTTTAACGTCGCCGCCGACTGTGCCAGGAATTTCTGATGCAAAACTCCAATCGACTCCACGACGTTTCGTTGCTGGCGATCGGCCCGCCTACGACCTACTGGAAAAAGAAAGAAAGAAAGAAAGAAAGAAAGAAAGAAAGAAAGAAAGAAATCGATCAAGCAGCCGAGCGCAGCTCGGATTTGAATTTTAAATGTCCCCCGTAACATTCGTAATGAGCGTGGAATGTAACGGGGCGCTGTCTCTCTCCTCTCTCGCCGCTCTCGGCCGGTACTTTTCTCTCTCGTGGACCGCTCGCGGATGGTGTGCTCGTCTCGTCTCGTTGTGCCAGAAAACGCGATGTTAGTCTTGCGGCTCAGAGGAGCCCGCTTGAAATACGCCCTCGAGCGAGCGCGCTTCGCTTCGCGTCGAGAGAAGTCGAGAAGAGGAACGCGACGACGAGAACGAGCACGACTCGCGCTTGGGAACGCGTGTCGCGGAGTTGAGCATCGATTACACGTACGTTGCCGAAATACGAGAGCGCGCATCGGCAACGAGCGCGAGAGTGTTGAGGCTGAGAAGTTAATCGGTTGTCGGGGTAATTAGCGAGCCGTCAGCGGAAAACGAGAGAATCACGCGTTCATCTGCGTCGTAAGGAGTCACGAGTTAATCTGCCGGGGCGAGATCGCGTTTGACCCTGAGGAAAGGCATCCCGGTGGGGTTTTAGCCGGGCAAATAAGAATCCGGTATAACCCTCGTCTCCCCCAAGGGGCGAGGGTATCCATGAGGATCTCCCCATCGTGAAAAAGAAAAGGGGGCGAGATCGCGGAGCCGCGGCGCGGCTCGACTGCAACTCGCAACCGGCTGCGCGCGGCTTCGCGCCGCCGTCTGAGCTGCTTTCGGCGCGGGTCTCCACGTTTTATGATATTCGAAACGTAAAAAAGGAAACGCTCGGTATGTATGCCAGTGGGTCTCAGTCGGAACTCTCTTCCTTCCCCTACCGTGCGGAGAAAGAAGGAGCCGGCGCGGCGCGGTGGTTGCAGTGGGAGGAATCCAACGCGCGCGGTGAAGCAGCCGAGAGATGCACTGAGCGAGAGAGGGGACGAGGAGGGAGAGAAAAAAATGAGAAAGAGAGAGAGAGAGAGAGAGAGAGAGAGAGAGAGAGAGAGAGCGAAGCGAACAGGAGCAACGTCTCTCCTTTCTTCTCTCTCTCTCTCTCTCTCTCTCTCTCTCTCTCTCACTCGGCTGAATCTTTCTTTCCACGCGAAGATATATGCTTATCCTCCACTTTTCTTCTTCTCGCCTCTCCCTCGCCTCTCTGCTGAGGCGTTTTTCGTCTCAGCGGACTCTCGAGAAGCCGCTTAGGATCCGCGCGTGTGTTGAAATCGGATAGAAGCCGAAGTCGGCTCGAGATACGCGAGGCAGATTTGGAAATGTGGAAATTGGCGCGACGAACTCGCGCCGCGAAAAGTGGAATGAACGCGCGCGCGCGGATAAACGCCTAACGAGCGTCAGCTGGCGGTTTATTAATTCGCGTCGCATGCCGCGAGACCGCACGCGACGCGATCCGCGCGCGCTTAACTTTCGGTGCGCCATCGCCATTAATCCACTTAGGTGACGTCCGCGCGCGCGAACGAGCGGACTATTATTAGCCGCGGCCATCGCGCGGCTCGGCTCGCTCATGACGAACGGAGCCGGTCGAGTAGACGCGCATCCGACGCGCAGGTGAATATATGCGGCACGGCGATAGCGCAGGTCGCTGGCACACTTTCCTCATTGGCTCGATTCGCGTTACCTCGTTCCTGCGATTTTCCAATGTCCCGCGAGCGTGCGAACGGGAAACGCGGATCGCCCGACCCGGCGAAGCGTGCCGCTCTCTCGCAGAAAGAGAGGCGCTTCTTACTCGGCAGCGTCTTATTAATCTCTCGCAATTAACGCCGTTACGTCTCGATTCGGCCGGCTGCGATCCGTGCGATTTGCATCTTTTGCGGTTTGCGTGCACGCGCACGCGATTAGGAGACGCGATTTAACGCCGAGTTGCCGCGTCGGCTCGGCTGTAACAAGAAATGCAGGCACAACATCTTTCTGTTTCTCTCTCTCTCTCTCTCTCTCTCTCTCTCTTTCTCTCTCGCGTACATGTATGTATGCTTCCAAGTACGTATGCTTTATTAACATGCGTTGCACACAACAATAAATACATGTGTAAAAAAATAAATATATAAAAAAAACATAATCGAACAATGTGTACTTTGGTTTCTTCGGTTCGGCGTCCTTGATCTTTCACTGAGAGTGTCCTGTCCCGGAGAGCGGCGGCGCGTTTCTCTAAGAGGGTTGAATGGATTGCCGCGCCGGCGCGTTTCTCGTGAACAAACGTCACGTTGTTCGAACGTCACTTTCTACCGTGGCTGTCAATTAGTTTCTTCGCCACTGTCGTCTCGTCGGTGTTTATATGTGTGTGTGTGTGCGTGTGTGCGTCACTGTCACTGATCTTGCGTAGCGTCGTCGTCTACGTCGTCGTCGTCGTCGTCGTCGTCGTCGTCGTCGTCGTTGTCGTCGTCATTGTCGTTGTCATTGTCATCGTCGTCGTTGTTCATTTTCCAGGCGTCTATTGACCCTCCTACCGCGGCGATCGTACAGTTTCGGCCAGCCGACCTTATCAGCGAGGGGACACGGGAGCTACGTTGGCGGATTCGCGTTGGATGAATAAGGATGCGATGCGATGAGGGTGCGATGACGATGCGATGACGGAAAATCACGCGAACGCAACGCCGCCAACGTGGCCCGCCTCGAAGGGAAGCTCCGGTCTCGCGGTGGGGGGAGGCGGTCAGAGGGCCCGTGGGATCTCGATCGAATTTCGCGGTGAGTGCTGACGATTGGCAAGGAAGATCAGGAAGCTCGCAAGTTGGCGTACAGGTTGGCGTATCCTCGGTAAGGCAGCTGCGTGCGGTCCTCGTCGTCGTCCGCAAACGATCGCTTCTTGCGATGATGATGGCCGACGTCTTGCGCGTACACCACGTGGTGGCCGCCGTGGTCCTCGTGGCCGCTCGCCAGCTTCTTCACCGCCACGATCAGCGACAGCATCAGCGCCATGGCCGACACCATGAGCGCCTTCATGGCGAGTAAGCCCAGCGCGCCAAAGCCCATCGCGGCCATCATTTTACCTGCACGCGTCGTGGTCGGAAGCGTGAATTTACATCAGCGGAATTTATCAGAGAGAGGGATGATAAACAAAGGTTCTCCAAAGTAGCCGAGATTGAAAAGGGACGACCAACAGACTCGGTCGAGTTAACGCGACGATGAATGAATGAACGCGTTTTGAGAACTTGGGAAGAAAACTGCCTTTCTGGCTCTTGGAAGCCCGAAGGTTGAAACGTCCGGTGAGGAATCGAATCGACATGAAACGGGACCGCTTACCCATCATGAGCGCCATGATCAGGATGCCGCCGTTGCCTCCCTTCTTGCCGCCGCCTCCTTTGCCGCCTCCGAAACCGCCGCCGCCGAAGCCGCCGTCTTTCCTCGCTGCAAAAGACAAAGCCCTCAGAAAAAGCGAAGGTTCTCTGGAAGCCGCGACTCGCTCGCGGACGGGCGACTTACGCACCTTCGGACTCGGAAGGCAGGCTCTCCTGGAGCGCGCTCTCGATGTTCGGCGGTAGCAAGGATGGCAGCTTCACTCGCAGCTCCCTGCCCTCCAAGAACTGCAGGAACGGCCCGAGGCTGCCGAAGCCCTTCAACACTCTAGCCTTGCGCGTTGAGCCACCACCGCCGCCGCCACCGCCGCCGCCGCCGCCGCCGCCGCCGCCGTCGCCGTCGCCGCCGCCGCCGCCACCGGGCACTTCAACGAGGGTCACGCCGTCGAACAGCTCGATATCCCGTTCTTTCCCGGTGGTCTCCAACATCTGTTGCACAATCTTCCGGACGATGCGCACTCCGTGGCAAGAGATCGACATGTTCTTCATGTCCTCGGCGGCGCACGACGTGGAGAATCCCGTCCACGCGTCCTTGGACGCGTTATCCGCGGAGGCGGCGTCGGTCGCGTGGACCAGCGAGAACGCGCAGATCGTCAGCATGAGCAGCTGGACGAGCGGGCGCCGACGACCGGCGGCCGGCGCGTCGTCGTCTATCCGTGGCATCCTGTCGTCGTCGTCGTCGTCGTCGCCCGGGAACTTTGTAACTTTGTCTGTCGCGTAACGAGTGGACGTGGTCGTGGTCGTCTGCGGTCACCACCGCGCGGCAGGTCTCCACACGACCGGACACCAGCTTCTTCTCGCGGTACCTCCAGCTGACTGAGCGAGGGCGAAAATTCCCGATGGTGTATCGCTTGCGACCGGCAGGACGTAGTGCCGCGATCGGTTAGAGTTGCGTGGCTGCGAAACCTACGGCGGTCCGAGACTGCTGCGCCGTACGAGACTGCAATTGCCATTTATATAGATCTACGTGACGGTCGGTGATTGTAGCAGGAAAAAAGCAAGGAGAGCATTGGTACTTGGCGGCTGCCGTTCTCTGCTCTTGCTGTGCATTAGCCGATGAATTTTTCGCCTGCTGGAGACGGTGGACGCGCCGCGCCGGTCTCCTCTCCGCGCGCGAGATTCCTTTAATTCTTGTTTCCGAGCAGCGTTTCAGAGCGTTACGACGCGGTCGGCATACGATCGCGCGAGAGGAGACGATCGACGGCGGCGATGGCGGCGGCGGCGGCGGCGGCGGCGGCGGCGGCGGCGGCGGCGGCGGCGGCGGCGGCGGCGGCGGCGGCGGCGGCAGCGGCGGAGGTGGTTCCGTCATCGAGAGCTAGGCGAGTGACGCCCTCCACCTCGCGTGTTGCCTTCCGCCCGCGCCGCACCTGGCGTGATCCGCGTCTGGCGGGACATTTAACGCCATTCTAGATCACGCAGATCACGGCTCCCGGATCAATGCGCGACGACGCGGCCCTCTTCTCGGCTCCGCTCCTGCCCGCGAGAAGCGCGCGCATAGCTCACCTTCCTTTCTCTCCTTCCGCGCTTTAGTGGAGCGGAAGAGAACGTGCCGATTTCGAATCGTGATCACGTGCTGGTCGTGCGACACGTAGACCTATCGCGACGATACGTCGTGAGAGTCGCGGGGAGCTCGATTGGGATTTCACATGACGACAGCGACGACGACGACGACGACGACGACGACGACGACGACGACCAAGTCGGGTTTATCACGGATGTTACTTCGACGTTCGAGGGCTCCGCCGGTGAAAAGGCGGAACCCCGTAGGGAAGCAGCTCACACGAGGCCGAGGAATGCGGGAACGGACGCGACGAGAGAGGAATGCGAATGAACGCAGCAAAGGGGTGGCAGGCAGAGAGAAAGAGGCAGAGGAACGAGGAGATGCGTTGCTCGAACGAGGACGGCGAACGTGGACGGAAAGGAGAGATGACTATCCGAATCTAGTTCATCTCTCCGCATGCCTTTCTCTTCTGTTCCACTTCCCCTCGCATGCCCGATACCCCGTGGTTATGTACGCAGCCGAAGGCCCGCTAGAGGTATAACTACCGGGCGACTCGAAATCATCCTCCCGTTCCACGGGACGACTCGATCGTACACGACACGATCGTCATCGACTATATAAACCTGAATCGAAGCTCGCGACGCATCAAAAGCTCTCTCATCAGCTCCGACCGCGCCGATTAGAGCAGGCAGAAGCGGACGCGCGCGCGCGCGCGCTGGAACGATAGACTGAGGGATAGAGATAGAGACAGAGAGATAGAGAGAGAGAGAGAGAGAGAGAGAGATAGAGATAGAGAGAGAGAGAGAGAGAGAGATAGATAGAGAGAGAGAGAGAGAGAGAGAGAGAGAGAGAGAGAGAGAGAGAGAGAGAGAAGAGAGCTGCTCGCGCGAACCCGTGCAAAATTAACGTATCACGTTAATTGCACGGGCGTAAGGAAGAAGGTTGCGGTTGAATTAACGAACCAGAGCGACGAACCAGAGAGGCACGTTTTGAGAGCGAAGGCAACGGAGAGGATTAGAAACAGAAGCTCCATATTTCCTGCGAGCGCGGCGCGCTCGGTTCCTCCGCTGTCGCGTCGGCTCTCAATCTGTTTTCTTTCCGCACGTACATAATACACGTACGGAATGGCAGTTTTAATTAGTGAACACTGTTAGCTCGCAATTAGGAGTGAACAGCGTGCTCTATGCTCTGCTTACTCCGCGGTGCGGGGGAATCACGCGCCCCCATCGCGGCCGCAAACGCGTTTCATACTCGGTACATATGTATAGTCTTCGCGGTCTTCCGTGGCCTCGGCGAGTATCCGTATCGCGATCATATTGTCGAAGTAGCGGAAAACGCTGTTCTTCTTTCAGTCTCTCTTCTTCTCTCTGATTTTCCCACGCGCTTTTCCAACGTGTTTCATCCTCTTCTTCTCACATATCGTTCTGCCGAAGTTAGGCTCGAGGAGACGCCGATTGTGAACCGGAAGCTCGGTAAGTCGTTCCAAGTCGATCTAAGGCGTTCGGAAAATGTACGACAGGCGCCGAGGCGGGTCGCGATGCGATGTCGCGAAGCACTCGTTCGATCGGTAGAGAATCATCGGTAGACACTCAATCTCGAGAAGTCGTGGTGCAAACATTTACACGCTTATGCAGGCACTCTCGCGTGTGCGCGCGCGCGCGATAATAACTCCTTTACAACGAGACCCCGGCGATTTTCACCGGCTCGCGCTCCGGTATTAATCTCTCCGATCTGCGGGTAATTGCGCTTCGAATAAGCGGGAATTCAGGTTACCGGCGACACGCGATCGGCCCACATATCAGAAATCAACGGTTCATTCCAGGTCCAACGTCCGTCGTGATCTCTTTCCCCGATATCGACGGCCATTAAATGGTCGCGCAGCGCGCGCGCGCGGACAGTAAACGATTCGTGTCATCGTCTACGAGTCTACAGGGAGTAACGTCGTCGACACCTCGTGTAATAACAGCGCGATCGAGTTGGGAGACGGTTTCGAGAGCGGTGTCGTTCGGTGTCGGCGATATCCGTATGCGATCGAGGTTTCCGACACATACCGGACTTCAATTTCTTCCTCCATTCCGTGCGCGCGTGCGCGCGCGCTCATGCCTGCAAACAGTTTTCGAAAACAGAAAAAGGAAAGAAAGGAGGAAGGAAACTGGGTCAAGTCCGCGATCCGCGGCGCCCCGTACGTCGGAAATCGAAAGTCGATTTCCTCAATGGCACGGGATGAACGGTTCTTTCTCTCCGTCTCTGTCCCGCCGCGCCGCGCCGCGCCGCGACGGCTCCCTTATCATCCCGCGGTTATCTCTCTCTCCTGATCCTCTGCCGATCGCGATGGAGAAAGCGGACCTTGCGAAAGGAGGTCGACTGATTTGAATGAGAAATGCCCGGTACCGCACGTGGTCCAGTCGGTTTTCCCTTCGATCCTGACACAGACACGTGCTCAATTCCTCGCGAAATTCACGAGAATCCTTCGCGCCCCACGCGGTAGCTTGAAGGAGCATTGTTTCGTCATTTCCAACGACGCCGACAGATTTCGAACCGACTGTACGAAGAAAAAATCGATGAACAAAAATGTATACAAATAGATAACAAATCATAGTGGACAGTCCAAGTGGACTCGTAAACGATGGTTGTTTTTGTTGTTGTTGTTGTTGTTGCTTCTTGCAGCTTCGGCGAGTCACGAGGAGCGCTGCGGTGACGCGCAGCGCTCTCCTCGTGGGTGCGAGACGCGAATTTCGATTACAATAAGCCGGTTAAGATAATCACGCGACCGGCGTCAAAGTCCCGCTAAGAATCGCGAAGCGGAACGCTGCGTCTGACATTTTAACGCGACATCGTCGCTGACTCTGCGTTCCTCAGCGACCTTTATGTAAGAAGCTCACGTAATAAATTACACACACACACACACACACACACATGCGCGCGTCGGTTTCTCGTCGTTTCGCGCTGTGCGCAAAACTGCGCGGGATCCGATCGCGATGATCGGTTCCGCGACAAAGGCGAAATCGGTCTCTCCTTCCTCCCTTTTCTTTTCTCTTCCTTCGCCACTTCTCAAGATCGAGCTGCATTGTGAGAGACTTTCGGATCTAGCGCGCGCCGACTTCGTTTTGACCTGAGCGCAGAAGCAACGAAATGAATCGCCTGGATGTGAAACCGCGGGGAAGGGACTTTTATTCTCGCGTCTACGCGATGTTTCGTCCCGTCCGTTCTACAAGCCGTCTGAAATAGACCACAACTAACGATCGTGACTAAAATGCCTACCGCGCGTAACACACCTAACCGTCCGCGTATCGTTCGCGGAGTTCGCCTTGTGTTTAGCCGACGCGTAGTCGAGCGTGTCCGCCTCACGGGCTCGCTCGAAAGTTGTTTCACTCGAGAGGGACGTCGCTTGTTATACGATTAAAAAAAAAAGGGGGACAGCCTCGGGCTTCATGTCGAGTGTTATTACATGCTTTCGGCGATTTCTGCCCGAAAATACATGTTTCCCCTTGAACATTGTCATTAGCGGTCAATAAGCGCGTTATCTCTGTTATGATATCATCATTTTATAATTATAGTATTATCGGCCATTTCATTCTGCCCGCGGAGTCGCGTTAAAAGCCAGTTATTACGGTCATGTTTCACGACGCGAGTCGACGAGTAGGACGTAAAAAGGCGGGACGTAGGCTGAACGAATGAGAAGAAAAAAATTACACGATATAAAAAGAAACAAATAATATAGGGAGCAAACGGACAACGCTATCATGCTGGACGCAATGCGAGAACAACTAGAAACGACTTGCGAGTCTAAGGGGCCGCGTTTCTATAAAAATAATAAATATTTATTTATTTATACACAAAATATATAACACGGGAAAATAATATCATATACTCTCGTAGTCTTGTTAATCGGACAGGACGGCGAGTTAGACACGATTGGTTGATTTATAAATAAAGCATAGTTACACGCGCTTTTCATGTATGTGTGTGTGTGGTGGGGCGGGGTGGGGTGGGGGGAGGCTTGCTGTTGCAAGGTGGGAAATTCTGACGTGATGCGTCCGCGTATTCGGTATTGGCAAAAAGCAGTCTGCAGTGACGAAAACGTCCGTCCGTCGCGTCCGTAACGGATCGCTACAAGACTCTCCGTTGAGAACGACACGTTCTAATTCGCGACTAATGACGCGCGAACCGTGTAATCGCCGCGACCGTTCGCGCGATGATTCCTCCTCTCCGATCGTTTTTCTCACGGTTATCTACACGTCACTCCGCGACTTCTCTGTCACAGACAGTCTAAAATCACGCGAGACCTGCTGATCTTGCGGAGTCGCGGGCTTCAACACGTCCACGTGTGTTCACGCGGCGCATTTCGCGCTAAAGATGACGAGAGAAGCTTCGCTCTCGAGAAACGCCCCGGCAAACAATCAGATAAACGCAAAATGAGCAACGAAGATGCAGCGCGATACTTCCTCGTTCCTGGTCTTCAGCTCCGCAGTCGGCGGCTGATTCGAAGCCATACGTATGCGTATACGTACGAGCGAATTTCTCGAGAACGAAACTACCGTTGGACACGTTAAGGCGAAATGATAGTCGGATAGTCGTGTACCGCCGTGAAGAGTACGTGACGAGTGTACGAGCGGAAAATCGGACGGTCGGAGGGTTTAGCATTTGATGCGCGCGCAACGTTAGCCGCGCGAGAAAGCTTCCGCGAGCTATCATGGAGATCCGAATGATCAACTAGCAATGACAATGAGGAAGAACGCCAATGATGGCGCTCATGCACGCGTGGCGCGTCCGATATCCTGACGACCAAGAGTCTCGCAGTAATCCGCGATTATGCTCGAGTGCAGTCACGAAAGTAGGTGAGAGCCTAACGATGCGCGTGTACCGTACGCGTTTCGAGAGGCTCTTATCCACTCGGACTACGTATCGCTGTAATCCGCGATGTGACGTCGCGCCGAGGTCGTGTCGCCGTGTCGGTCGTTCAACGTCGTGCCTGAGCTGTTCGTACGTCGGTCACGTGTCTCGTTATCGTCGTCGTCGTCGTCGTCGTCGTCGTCGTCGTCGTCGTCGTCATCGTTTCGTGCGTAGTGGTCCGTCATGCGGGATCTCAGACTCGCGGGTGTGACAACGAGGAGCGATCGTGGGTGGAGATGGGATGAAGAGGAGACAAAGAGGAGCAAAGAGAGGCGCAATAAATACTCGATCGGGGTAGCTTCTCCGCGACGCGATCCAGGAACAAGTTTCCAGGCGGCGACCCGAGGACAGCGTCAGGGGCTTTTGGAGTTGGACGAGCCGAGTCGCTCGATCGCCTGGGCGACCTCCTGGGACCTCTCTTGCGCTCGCGGGAGTTGTTCATTTGACGTGCGCCTTGTAAGCGATCTCGTGGGCGTCCAGGTGAGCGGAGATCGGCGTCGCCCCGTGGAAACTCCTGGCCCAGCCGCTGGAGTAACTGTCTCCGCCGTGGCCGGCGTGCTCGAACGAGTGGCTCGAGCTGTGATGAGGGTGCGCCACCACCTCGTATGTGACGTGCTTCTGATGCGAGAAGAGCTTCTTCAGGCCGATGATGCCGGCCAATAGGAGCGCGATCTTCGATAGGAGGAGAGCTTTGCCGACCAGTAAGGCGAGCGCCTTGAACGCGAGGCCGCCGATCAGGCCGATCTTCAGGACAGCGGCTGCGATCAACGGGCCCATCTGGTTGTTCTTCTTGCCGCGACCTGCAAAAGACGGCGGCGGGTGATGTTGTCGTAGTCACTCACTTTCGGCGAACTCTAGCCAAGGGAACGACAAAGAAACACGACCGGCGGCGGCGGCCGCGAAGGCGCGTAATTGTACTTTCCACGGAGAAAGCAGTAAAGTTCGGTGATGAGCAGATGAATGAGCCACGGCCCCGGCGAAAGTTATCTGTTTATGCAGTCGGTGACACAACTTGGCGCGAGTGCGAGCGCGAACGCGGCGAAAATTCAAACGAAACCAAAACTGACGCGTCATTTCGACGAGGCGCGCGCGGCCTGTTCAATCTGCCGGCGAATTTATGCGAGCAACGGTAGAAGGAGAAACGAATAGGGCTGCCGCCCGATAAATTTTTCCTCCCCCTTTTTCAGCAGGAGCAACGTCTCTCGGAACGTCGATGCAGTTAAATTAAGATCGCTAAGTCGGAATTATTAAATTGGGATTAGAATAAAAAATTGCCGCAAATGACATTTTGCACTTGGACCTTCGTGAAAAAAATTTTGCGATATTAGTGGCAAGACGTCAGCTAAGAAATATCCCGCTACAACATCAACTTCGCTTCGAAGGGACCTGACGGTTCCTGACGGGAAGAATGCAAAGTAATTACCGTCCTGGACAGGTTTGTCGATGCGCTCGATGGACAGGCCCAAGTTCAACGAGCCGGTGTCGTCCTCGGACGCGGACACGACGATGTCGTCCTCGGGCAGGATCCTCCACTTGACGCTCCTCGATTTGACAAAGGCGTAAACCTTATTCGCGACGAGATCCAGCACCTGAGTCTCATCGTCCTTGCTCCTGCCGGTCTCGAACGTGATCACGTCCTCCGACGTCTGGCTCGTCTTCCGGATCTCAATGTCGTCTGTCAGCTCGATCGACGCCTTCTTCAGCAGCTTGTTCATGTACGTCACCAGCTTCAGCATCACGCAGCTGCTCATGTCGTTCTGGGAGCATTTCGAGTTGAGCTTGCGGAGCAGCTCCTCCTCGTACTTGGCTCGATCCGTCGAGCTCAGCGTCGCGGTCTGCGGCTCGACGACGCTCATCTTCTCCTTCTTCTTCAGCGGATTGGCCGAACAAACGCCCAGAACGACCAACAGCAGGATCGCCTTCATGATGCTCTTCTGAAACATTTCGCGACGTCAGCAACGACTCTTGACCGAAGTTGAAACATGACTCGAGTAACGAGGCAGAACACAACTAAAGACCCGTTCTCGAAAACATAGTGTTTTCGAGTCAGCAACAAAATATAAAACAAAACAAAATACAATAGAAAATAAAAGCAACAAGAGTCGTTTTCGACGCAACGTCTCACTCGACCGAGGTGTGAAACCCTCGAGCGCGCGCGCGCGCGCGCGCACGAACGACTTGTAAAAATAAACAATACTTAACAATAACCAGTCAATCACTAAAACGACCGCGCGATAAAATCAAGCCGAGGATTCCGAACGCTGCCTTGCCGGGAGTGCAACCGACGACTCGCGATAGAATAACGGAAACGACAAATTGACCCACCTGTTGGGCCGGAGAAGATCTACGGGAGGCGCAAGAAGGGGTGGCGGGGACGCGATTTGCGACGCGATGACGGATCTTCTCTCTCTCTCTCTATCTCTCTCTCTCTCTCTCTCTCTCTCTCTCTCTCTCTCTCTCTCTCTCTCTCTCTCTCTCTCTCGGCACGTTCGCAATCAGCTGGTCGACGTCGTGCCGCGTACACCGAATTGCCCTTGAACGCGCGCTCTTCTCGATCCCGACGCACGGACCGAGGAGCACTACGAAGCTTCTGAACCCGCGTCTCGCCCTCGACGACTTTATATACGTAGATCACGCCGCCTCCCTAGACGCGCTAGCGCTAGCGCTAGCGCTAGGTGTGCGCGACGTCGCCGGCCACCGTCATGACCCACCACCTCCCGCAGGAGGTATATGGCAGCCGCCGGGTGGCGGACGTCAGGACGACGGTAGTGGTGGGCACTTTTGCCTTTGACGCTGCTCCGAGTCCCGGTGTCGCAGGTGGTGGGATCCGCGCGGCGATCTCGAGCGCACACGAAGGACCGACCTCGTCCCACTGCTGCAAAGGACAGCCCGCCGTCCTTTGCTGGTCTTCGTGATACGACCAGGCGCGCAAACGGAGCAACGGAGCGCCCATCACGCCTCAGCTCGTCGTCGTCGTCGTCGTCGTCGTCATCATCCTCCTCCTCTTCCTCCCCCTCCACCGAGGGGGAGGAGAACGAACGCATCGTCCCTGTGCAATCGCAAACTGGTTCCCAGCTTGCCGCGGTACCTCTGCACATACGCGTAAACCTGCCTACCTCCCGAACGAGCATAGCGGCCCATCGCGCGCGTGTGCGTGCGTGCGTGCGCGTGCGTGCGTACGCGCGCCGCGCGATTCATGAACGACTCCTGGCTGTCGTTCGCCGCCATTCGGTGGACCATTACCAGCGACCTGCCGCGAGAACCGTGTCACGGATGTAGAGCACGCGCGTCACTATCCGTCAGTCTGTGCGCGCCGGTCCGTTGATCCATCCACCCATCCATCCATCCATCCATCCAGCGGGCCATCCATCCGTTCGTCCGTCCATCCCCGGCCTCGAAGGCGCGCTCTCAGCCACCTTATATGGTCGCTTTTCACCAACTTTTCTCTACGCACTCATGGACTTTTAGGGTAGCGAGACACGGCTCGGCGGAAAAGGCGCTTGGTGGGAAAGTCGACTAATGATAACGATATTCGCGCACGATGATGCTAATAATAATAATAATAACAATGCAGACTCGTCGTCCGCGGCAATTACTGGAGCAGAGGCGCGAGGCCGCGCCTCTGCTTCAGTAATTGCGAGGTCTCGCGCGGAGATCGAGCGATTGCCCGAAAAGCGTGCCGCCGCACGCACAGTGTTGCGAAACCTCCAAATAGTGGCCATAAGTCATATTGTCGCTATGTATAATGTACTATAGTTGAATGAAAAGCATACTATATTGTAAATACTAGTACTTTATCACTAAAATAACATGTTTTCTAATTTTATTATTTTATTTTTTACTTTTTTGTTTTTTTATTTTCTTTTTGTTTTTTTTTATTTTTTTGTTTTTTATTTCCTGTTTTAGTTTTTATCTTCTGCTTTTTACTTCATATAACTATTAACTAAACAAAATATTTAATATAACTATTCATCGTTCGAAACTGCATTTGCTACAACAGGATTTGCAAGCAATTCAATAACTTCTTCAGGGAAGGGATCGGCTTGTTTATCTGAAACTTTTTTTAAAGACAAAATGATGGGATCCGAGGGAAGAAGAAGTCTTTTAAATAAATCTTCATTCGTCGCAATTCTCGAGTTTTTTCTTATATGATACTCTCTCGTATCTCTACAGTCTTTACTTTTACTATTGTTTACTACATTATTTAATTAGAGCTTAAACATTATCATTGATTATTATATTTGTAGTTAACATTAGCAAAATTAACTAGAATAAAGGATTTTGATAGAGGATATAATTTTTGTGTTGAACAATATTACTTGCAGTAGACAGCGTCTGATCGTAAGCGCACTGAATGTCGAACTCTGCTCGTAAACTTTATCGTACTTTTTTTAAGCGCTGGATGTCGCTCTTTCTGCCTTTCTGCGTAAGGATTAATAGATATTTTATCTTTATTTTCACAAAAGTACAACATGGTGCGAAATGACGCAATTTTTGTATATCACGATACAAGTGATTAACTGTATATAAAAAGTAAGTCCTGTAAATCTAACTTTTATTGTATATACTTATAACTTTCTAATATATTCTTTATTGGAAATAAAACTACGCAGATGAGATATTAGACAGGGAACATCATTTTCATGATAAAAAATTGTTTTGAAACAATTTGCGTTGACGCAAAATCAGTTGTATCATTCGGAGGGTTATAACCCGGCTATTCCTTATTTCGCATCACGTGTACATTTGAATTCACTTATCTTCGCGATACAATTGGATTTCATCATAATGTTACTATAACTTATTAATTTGGACTTTTAGAAAATTTTGCAATTTTAGAAAATATATTGAAAACGGGAACCGAAAATTTCGCTTTTTATTTTTTCTTATTTTGGCCACGTTTAGCGATTTTTGCAATATTGTGGCGCCGGATGCGCGCGTCGCTTCAGAAGCACACGGGGTTATTCAGGGTGCCGCGGCCGGAGAAACTCTCTCTCGTGCGGTTGCAGGCGACGCTACGCTTAATCGCACGTTGTCAGCGCGAGATCTGGATGAGCGACCTCGCCGGCGATCTTTCGACGCCTGCTTCCGTTCCCGATACCGCGTCTCCGCCGCGAGCGCGTCATTCGTCAGCTCGCTCGCGATCCGCCCGCGTCACTCGATCGAAAAAGCCAGCGCGTAGAAAGCGGCGGCTTGCAAAAATCTTTGGGGGAAAGTAAAGAGAGGCGAGCGAGAGCGCAGGGGTAAGCTGCCCCGGATCGCGATTTATCGCGATTTATCGCTCTCGGCGCACCGCCCGCGAAGCTATCCGTCATCTCCGTGGATCTCGGCGGCGTCTTCATCATCCGCGGCGTGGCAGATAAGGTGCATTAATTATTAACGCAGCATCGCGCCGCGAAAAGCGCCTGGCCGAGAATCAGGTGTCGTTACACCGACGATTAACCAAGTCGTACGCGCGGTAACGCGCGTTTGATTAACGACCGGCCGCGCGATGCGCAACAGGAGGTGCGATTAAACCGTTACGCGGGGGGAACGACTCCCCGACGAGGAGCTCATCTTTCAATCGTCGGCGCACGAAGGTGTGACCATAGGCGAGACATTAGCGGCCGATTTGCCTCTACGATCGACGACTTTCGTCTAATCGATGACTGATGAGCCCGCGGACAGACGGGTAATGATAATAGCGATAATGGTGACGAGAAAAGCAAACAAACAATTAGCGCAGAAGCGAGAATAATGGTAACGCAGAAATTGTCACGAATTGATCAAAATTGCCCGATGATACTGACAATAACAAAGACGGATTAATTCTGCGACAAAGCACGCGGTAGAAAACCAAGACCGTTTTATTCCAAAGGGAGAAGGAGGAAGGATTTTAAAAAGCAAAACATTAAAACAACGAGAAGTTATCTGTATTCATCGAGGAGAATCATATTAACGGTATCACAGGTTTTTTCATCTCATTTTTTTTATTTTAAAAACCGAAAACGTTAAATAAACGGTTTATTATGATTGAATATTAAGTAAAATATAGAGAGGCTGTTGTTTGTGCAGCGGATAACATTTAACATTCGATAAGACCGAAACAAAATTCGCACGGGGTGAAATTTCACTCATGGTATAGCCTTTAAGGGTTAAGCAAGCGCCGCTTCCGAATTCCACGGTTCAGACTAGAGGTGTAATTTTTCTTCGAAGTTTTCGTGTTCGAAGCTTCGAAGAAGTGAAGCTTCGATACAAATTATTCGACGATCGGAGTTTCAAAACATCGAACCTTCGAAGTTTCAGTCTTTGAACTTTTTATTTACCCATTTATTTATTAATAATATAGGGGGTCTGACCCCTTTGGTGTACAAGAATGCTACAGTAAGTAATAAACGAGTAAGAAAATTCTCATGCAATAAAAGTGAAAGAAAATACAAAATAGAATATATAAAGAAAAAATATATAGAGAAAAAGAGAAGAGAGAAAGAAAGAAAGAAAAAGGAAAGAAAAAAAGACAACAACAAAAAGATCGCCTTATACCTTCCCCTCTCGAAACACTCAGAAATTACGAGAATTCGAAGGTGCTCGGGAATTGAATCACGAGCCGATACTTTTGTTATCCACGGAATGTAAAAATATATATATGACCGAGATGGCGTAGCATGCAGAAACAAAAAGCGCAGACTCGAAAACGACCGCCCCGTGTATTCTTTGAAGCTTCAAATATATCGAAGCTTCGAAGAGTGATATCTTCAAAGACTAGTCTTCGAAGCTTCGACGCAAAAAACTTCGAAGTTTCAAAGTTGAACTTCGAAGCTGCCGAAGAGTAACAGCCCTAGTTCAGACCGCACGCGTTCGAGTCCCTGGCCTCGTTCGCCTCGGTTTACATCGCGTGTACGCATAAATAAGGAAGTACAATAGCCAGGCGGTCGACGCGACGCGTCCTCGTCGTCGAAAGGTACCCGAGAGCCTGTAACGCGCCAAGTGCCACTTGGAAACGCATCGCTTGTTACGAACTAATGGATATAGCTGGGCGTGGAGAGGCCTATCGAGGAAAATCGCCGCGTATCCGCCTGTTCGTTCCTGAATTCAGCGCGTTTTCTCGCAGAAGCGGCTTTCGCGCTTGGTGGCCGCATAGGTTAACGTCGCGACCCAGCCGGGAAAGCTCGCTCGCCACTCGTCAAGCGATCTCTTCGCCAGCGCGATGACACGATCGCCGATTCTCTCAGTTGAGCGCGATTTGATGTAATTTTTAGTCGCACGCACGACTTAATTTCCCGAAGTACGGTTCGAAGTTCTCAGTCGCATGTCAATTCGAGTGCATTTCGCGATGAGAGTCCGACCGTACATCGCACGAATCACATCGCAGAGTCGCACGAGAACGAGCGTTTTTCGTGCCCGGTGCACCGTTACGTCGAATTCCGCGCGGATGTTTCGTCAGGATAACGAGCGCGAGCCTCGCCGCCCGAATGAGGATGTAGCGGTGTGTCGCAACGCGCAGCCGAGTCTTTCTTCCGCTTATCGCGACGGGATCGAGTCGCGTCACGTTTTATATTAAAGCCGCTCGCTCGCTCGCTCGCTCATAGAGGACCCCGCTCGGAGAGACTTGGAGAGAAATCGCGCCCGTTGTTATCTGTTTTACCTAAATTCCCCGCGCGTGATCTTCGCGCGAAAATCGCATGTGAGATCTCTCCATCACCTCGGATACTCGATATCCCACAGGCGAGTCGCGAGGCGCGAATTCCCCGCGGTTAACGGATTGCCGCGACACAATAGTGATATGTTCGACATTCTGTGGCGCGAGCATTCTGGAAGGTTGATGACTCCGTAAAGGCGATGGAATATGAAGCTTCACATGCGCGCGCGCGCGTGCGCTTGATTGCGTTAATTTGCATACGCACGAGCGCGCAACGTAGCGGCTGAATCAGTCGCCTGGATCCCACGCTCATAATACGCGATATTAATTCAGCACCGTTGTGCGCGTCGCGATGCCGCGAGGAGATAGCGCGACTCCGCCGGAGAAAAGAGGACGGCTCGTGCGTACACGAAGCGTGGAATTTGTACGGGAGCAATTAGTCGAACGAGGAGCAAACTCGAGCCGCGGAAGCGGTCGCAAATCAAGGAGTGCACGTGGAAAAATCTCCGCACGACCGCCCCGACACTTGCGGTCATTTAATAGAAAGTATAGAAAAGCCGAAAAAGTCGAACGGCTCATCTGGATCCATCGGCATCGCTTTCGCTGCACCAGCAGCTGAACCATCAGCGGAGCCAGCGTGTAGTACACGTGTGTGGATGTGTGTCAATTCAATGGACGATGCATGTTCGTATATATCCAGAAGAAAAGAAAAGAGGGGCAGGATAAGAAGGAAGAGAGAACGAGAGGAGGACAGAGAGAGAGAGAGAGAGAGAGAGAGAAAGAAAAAGTCATGCAATTATAAACGCACCAGTTCGCACGCATTATTGCGTTTTCTCCGCCAGCAAAACGGTCAAACGGTCACATTATAACGTTGCTTGTTTCGAATTTCCTTTCACTTGCAGCCATCGTAAGGAGAAAGATTAATTGCATTTATTATCGTGTACGTAAATTGTCACCATGAAGTACCCCGTGCGCGCAGCGCAAACGGAAGCTCAATGGATTGAGAGGGACAGAGAGAGAGAGAGAGAGAGAGAGAGAGAGAGAGAAAGAGAAAGGGAGAGAAAGAAAGAATTTCTCTCGACACAACATCTCCCCTATCCTCTCTCTTTCTCTCATCTTTCCATTCCATTCCTTTCATCGACTCCTTCGTCGATTCTTCTTTTTTACCTTGCGATCCTCAACATTTCCTATTTCGAATTTTATCATCAAGGAAATATCCTGCAGAAATCTGAAAGAAGTAGCAGCTTTATATAAGAGAATATCGAAGACATGGAGAAAATATGGGTAGAAAATTTCGCTAAAAGTTAAACATGTTTCGGCAAGTTGACAAAATTCGTGGAAATGAAGTAAAATTGATGGAAAGTGGAAAATCTGTGTAAAATAAAATCGATTGGCTAAAAACTGACAATGGTCTCGACGGTGCGTCGAGATTGCAGTTTGTGTCCGCTTCATCACGGAAACAACTTGACGTGGCGGTCAAAGGGTCAGAATCTACCGATGCAACGCGAGTTTCCGCCAAGTTGCTTTCCAATTATCGCCACGAGGCGGCCGACCGCTTCCGGTCTTCTCGGCAAAGGAGGCCACTTGGTCAGCGGGTCCGTTCCGTTCGATTCTCCGGATCGTGAGTGAGAATCGTATCGGATCTGTTCGCGTGTAAGATAGTTCCTCGCTGTGCAAGAAATTATCAACCAAGAGGGAAAGAGAGAGAGAGAGAGAGAGAGAGAGAGAGAGAGAGAGAGAGAGAGAGTGAGAGAGGGGGGAAGGAGAAGTGGCTCGAAGTTCGCTCACGCGGGATTTTCACGCCATTAGAAGAGACGCTTCAACAATGAGCGCATCGTGAAAGATCCGCGGCAAGTCGCGCGATCAGGAATGCGACTGGTATTTCCAGGTGACGATACCCTCCCGCGCGATTAACGTGGACGGTAAATTTGCATTTCTTATGATATCGTCGTCGGCGAGCAAACTTCTTCTTCCGGATTTGGAATTTCGGGTTACTCCGCCGTTGTTAAAGCGATGGTCTAAAAGCTTCCGATGTAATTGATAACGTCTAAGCTTACCTCGAATCTTGCGATTTACTTTTCATAAACTGATTACGGTCTATTTCCTAAAAAAAGAGAAAGAGAAAATTTATCGACTTGTATCGACGATACGCGTGGAAAGTCGTGTAACAGCTATAAGTTCCGTCGATTACGTTTAATCTTCTTTCGCGACAACCACCGTACCCTACTTGCCGTTCTAGAATTTCCAGTTTACATATATTGAACGTTAGAAAATATTACGGAATATTTTCTCGCGATCTGACGTTTCTCTGCTCAGAGAGCAAATTCGCACTTGAGGCGTATTTTTCTCAAGTCCGTCCTTTCGTCGTGTCACACAAACGTGTTGTGTACCGATTCGCGAAAACAGCGTACGCGCTAAAAGTGGAGCAAAAACGACAGCGAAGAAAAAGAAGTCAAGCATACATTCCTACGCAGATATGTGTGATGAAATGTTCATCCAACATTCCATCAAACGCCGATATAAACCGGATGTCTCCGAGTATCGCGAATCTTCGCCTATAACGTATGATTCTGACGTCAGTTAAAGTTAAAATAGCAAATTCCTCGAGGAATCACGCTTTTTATTAAAAAAACAAACGTCACAGTTTGCACATTCACACTTTGACGATATGTACAACACATTCGAGTCAATCAGATACAAGTACAACGAATAAACACACCTGAAATGACGTATCGGGATAATGATTCGTAGCAAACGACAAAAATGCACATCATATTTACACGCAACTCGCGCGACTGTCCGAAAATATGACTGTCCGCTTGATCGTTCCTCTTTCCAACCTGTGAATGACGTACTAAATAAATCAGTTACGGCTTGTAATGCTGATATCCGCGATACGCCAGATCCTGAGGATAAGATCCCGCGTTTGCGTAATGATCCTCGTGATAGTCGATATCCGGATGTATTCCGTATTGAGGGTGACCGATACCGTTCTTGGTGTAAACCGGCGGATAGTAATCCTGCGCTTTGTAAAGCTTAAAGAAACCTATCAGACCGGGTATGGCGAACACCAGGAAACCGAGGAACTTCTTGAACGAAACCAGCCCGAGAATCAGGGGCAAGAAGAGCAGCAGCTTTAGCTTGAAGAGTTTGATGACGAGCAGCATCGGTATCAAGAGCTTCCTGAACTTGTGACGAGCTGAAACAAGCGCGACCATCGTGTCTTAGCGAGCAAAGATTGCATCGACAGCGGCAATTGTGTAATTAATTTAACGAGGATCAACGAAATTAAATTTCGTAATTTTAATTAATTAAATTTAATCAACGAAATTAAATTTCGTAATTCTCGTTGACTTTCGCGAAGAATTTTGCTCCGCCGAGACCAAATGAGCATTAGTGATTGGTATATACGCATCTTAATATATTAAAATAACTCCCAAGAACTTAAAATCATTATTAAGAGTTGCTTTCACGTTGTCATCGTGGAGAGATACTTACAAAATAGCGTGTCCTTCTTGTTTTCAAGAGTGTTGATCTCATCGGCGATCTCGTCCAGAAATCTCGGCTCGTAAGCACCGTTGCGGCCAGTCTCCGAGGTAGGTATGGTTAGTTCAAAGGACATCGTTTTGATAAACCTCTCAGTTTTCCTTTTCATGAAGTTCAGCATCTTGTCCCATTCCGATTCCCCGGACCTGCGTGGTGGATACATACTTTGTCTTGAATGTAGAATACGCAGGATGACCCTCGTCGGACAATTTGAGCTACAGTCTTTTCAACATTGCCGAAAATTCGCAAGGAGCTTTGGCAATTTTCTTTCCAATCGCGCAGTCATTTTCACACACGCATGTACACCGCATATAGACATTTTATTTTCTACGTTTACGGGGAATGACGTTATACCTAGGCTCATTGGAATACTCGAACGGCTGATGATACGCTTCCGTCACCACGTCGTTAGGCATCCGCTTAACACGAACATAGTCGCTCAAGGTATATTCGGCATGGTCGAAAATATCCGAAAAGTAACTCAAGGCACGGGACTTGAAGCATTCGGCCAAGTCGCCGGTGATGCACCGTTCGTTGATTCTCGCCAAGTATGGATCGGTGTTTCGTCCGGTTCCGAAACCGATGTACTCAAATAGATCTTCCACGTGCGGAATGGGATTGTATGCTCTCTGTTGCGATGGAGTTTCCTCGAGATTCTCTGAAACTGCAAATTCGACATTAATTTCGACTTTATTTCGTATGTTTAATTATTTGACTAAATATCGACAATTTAAAGACTGATCAAATGAAGGAAACAACACTTCAGCTTAAATTAAAAATCAAATAAATTTTGAATTAAAATTTCAAGATTTTTTTCATTTAAAAAAATGGATAATTTCTCCCTCATTCAGATTTCGTAATTTTATATTTTCGGTAAATATCTTTTTCTAACCACTTTGTGGTATTTCATAATTTTTCAGAAATCAAAATTAATTGAAGATATTTAAGAGAAAAATGATTCGATAAAACGGAGTGCACTTATCGTAAGTACATCAAACTACTGAAACTTGTAACCGTTAAAGAACTATAGTCCCCAAAAATATACGTATGTGCGTAATTCGTGAAGGTAAAACATCGTACCTTGTTTCTCCGATTGGCCCTCTGAAGCGGCATCCTGGAACGTAACTTTGCCGGCAGACTGACAGCGCACCAACAACGACGTCGTCAACACGGCTCCTAGAATTACCAACAATCGCTGCAGTTGCATCCTTCTTGTTGCTCACCTAGGTACTGTGCACCTGCAAACACGCGTCTTTATCGATTCGCCTTTTACAACGGAATGTAGCATTAACATTAATTGTGCCGACACGATTAATTAATTAATTAATCGATGCGCCGCGTAACAGCGTTATCACTGCCCGCCGGACAACACACGCGGACCATAGAGATGCAAATTATATTCATCCGGCGATCATTACGGCGAATTTACCTCCGTTATTTTAACGACACTTGCTCTACTTTAATTTTAATCCGGCAGTAATAATAAAAGATATGTGCGTCGAAACGTCTCCCCATATACATATGTGAACTTTATCGTACCAAAACACAAGAACGCAAATTGGTACAGTGTCTTTCAACGGCGACGAGCTTATAAATACGATATTCTCACCAAGCACTACGAAATAATCGCGATCCGCTGTTCGACACGCGACATCCTTGTCAAAAAAGCGTGCTCGTGGTGATCCTCGAGCAGCACTCGAACGTCTGCGAGATCGACTGTTGGCAGTCGACGCGCTGGTTCACCAAGTGCCGTTAGATGCGCGCACCAATCAGAAACGTAGGATGAGGAGAACCAGATTCCCGATTCTGAATTCTGAGCGCGCATTTCACTCGATAGATTCCCAGTTAATATGCATCTTCGCATTTATAATCATCGGCCAACCGCAAATTTTTCCGGGGAACTCCCGTAAAATGATTATGAACTTACCACAGTAATGACCGTGAATTTTCTCGGCTAAATTGAAAGGCTGACTTGAGCGAACGATAAGTAAACCAAACTCCGAATAATTCGAGTAAATGCTAACGAAACGATATTAAAAGCACGAGAACGAGGCAAAAGTCACGAGACGGAAAATTGCGCGGAAATACGCGAATCACAAGAGAGATGGAACTTACCCTGCTGATTAAAAATTAGATCTCGCGGAGGATCTAACTTCTTTCTTCCTGCTTCCAAATTGGGCGGTTTTGAGAGATTGATGGGTGGACGACCGTGGACGTCGTCGAATCGCCCAAGTTCGACTCAAGAGCAATGTGATGCCTTGGCCCAAACGCAATCTGCGTATTTATACGAGCGTACCATCTCGCTCGCAGGAGGGGGAAGGATCTGCAAGTTATTACATGAATGGAACGAGTAGGAGGATACACAAAAATCGAGAGTGAAAGTGGCGTGCCCGGAACAAGAACCGGAACTGGACAACGTAAAGGGACAAAGACGAAAGGTGTAAGAGGACTCACCGCGCAGGAGAGAGAGAATGAGAGAGGAAATCAACGCACTTCCCTCACCGGCTTACGACCCGAGGTGCGTCATCGCCTTGTAGCCAGTTTTATTTTCTCTCATCTTTCATCCCGACACGGACCTCTCGCGCCGCAAGAAATTACTTCTCCATATACATACGAAATCTAACGCTCATTGTTCCTTTAATTCTAATTATTGAATTTTAATTCTAATTATCAAACTCTCTATTGTCTTTGTATATGTATATCATCTTAACTTGCTCTTGAGACTTTGACACTTTGACGTGCAACTTCCCTGTTGAAAGAAGAAAATGGAAAAAAACCAATAGATTTTCGAAGACATCGAGTTTTTATGCATCACCTTCGAACGCACTCCCGTGTGATTATAAGATCTCGATTATGCAGACGCAATTGTGCGTAACATAGTATATATGCCGTGGCACGACGAGCGAATCTCACTCTGGAGAAATCTTTGTGTTGGACGTCATGAACCATTTCTTCTTTTATTGACGTGCGCACGCTGTACATTAATCCACAGATATACCATGAACGTAACGGAAATTGAAATTTTTTTAATGGAATCCGACTTAATTGAGTCCGCATGAGTTCTGCGCGCACGGTTCGCTTCTCGCGTTCACGTTAAATAAATTAACACATCAATATCTTCACGCGTCATACGATAATAAGTAATATCCAGAGTTTGTTATTCGTCGCAAGATTAAATTCTACGTGTGTGTATGTGTGTGTGCTTGTGTGTGTGTGTGTGTGTGTGTGTGCACGATAGAATACCCAAATAAATTAATTAAATATATGAAGTGTTTTTTCATAATACTATACGCTACATCCACACAAATCATCGAGACTGACCCATGTTCGTTAAATTCTCAACCTTTTATTCGTCGTAGCGCGAATGTTTATTAGACTATAAAAGAGAATTTTCTTTTCTTTTCTTTCGAGCATCTTCCTCTCCGACTCGAGCCTCGCGCTCGAGAATACGCTCACCGCGTAAATGTCCCGCACGATTCGGCCATCGCCGAGCGTTTGTAATATAATTCCCCGGAATACATCCAGAAGGGAATAGATTCCCTCAGCTACGTAACTATATGTCGTCGTAATAATGACATCTCATTTACGTTTTTGAGCCACGTTGTTTGTGAGAAAGTATAGAGAAGTATACACATACACTGCTCTCGCGTAACCCCAAAACCGAACGTTTAATAAATCGCTGGATCGCCCTGGATCGTATCTACATACAGTTTCCGTCAGTGCCCAAGATTGCAATTAAAAAATGGTCACACTACTATAACCGAATCGTCGATAATTGATCAATTCCTCAGCACAAGATGCGCTATGCAGCATGCAGGATACGTCTAGTTGACAGCCATTCAATTATGAGTGATAACAAAATGATACACTAGCGCATCCGCTTGAAGCCGCATTTTCAAGGCCGTAGAAAATATGAAGCTAGATTTTTAAATAAATCAGAAAATTTCCACGAAAAAACTACCGATGACCATCCTCGAACCTCGAATGACCGGTGAAAGTTCTCGGCGTAGCCCGAGCGACCGTTCCCGTTACCACGGACGATAACTTAGAAAACTGTACGCGATACGCCAAGAGTCCATTCGATCGCGGAAACTGAAGGTTCCCACCGTGGCGGATCGAGACTGATTCAAAGACCCGGAGCGCTAATCGATTCCTGGTCCTCCTGCAGCCTAAAAGTCCTAGAGGGACCTCGAGCGAGCGAGCCATCGTGGGTGAACTTCCGGCTCGCGCGAGCGAACGTCTGGAGCGAACGGACGGATGCTGAGTCGTTAGAGCGGACGTCGAAATGGAACTCGACAACCGCGCTAGCGCATCCGATCGTTCCGATCTGACTATCACACACAGATAGACTCCACGCAAAGAACTATATGACGGAGAACGCGACTTTTCTTCTTCCACTTCTTCTTTTTCTTCTTCTTCTTCTTCTTCTTCTTCTTCTTCTTCTTCTTCTTCTTCTTCTTCTTCTTTTTCTTCGTCGCATCCTCCGACAGCGACAGCGTCAACGACGCGAAAACGAGAGGATCGAGGCGAGTTCTCAGATCTTCCGGGCCTGCACGAGCTTGTTGATGTCTTGATAGGTCGCCAACATCGCCTGATTCTGCTTCAGGCTTTGGTCCTCGCGGGCGTTCGCGCAGTTCGCGTACAGATCTTCGCACTTGACACCATCCTGACCGTCCTTGGCGGCCTTCATATATCTGAAGAAGCGCAGCACATCGGGATTGTCGGTGCTGGGCTTCCTCAGCTCGTTCAGCTCCCTCGACAGCTGGGCGGACACCAGATTCGAGTACGGGGCGTAGCGCGCCGGGTTCCGGTACATCGCGCACACCGCGTACTCCCTGCAGCCCTCCGTGTTGTGGCCGAGACGTGAGAACACGGCGTCCAGACGCGACAGCAGAGGCGAGTAGAACGGATCGTAGTTGGTGAGGAGAAGCGAGCTCGTCGGGATCTCGTGGAAGACCTGCGGGCCGAGCAGACAAACGATACGACGCGTCATCGCGTCTCAGAGATGGATATGTAATTTTGCGTAGCTCGGCGGTACCAATGACGCGATTAATTCCCGTTAACAAGATGGAGTAACAACGAAGAAAGTGCAAATAATAAATCTCAGACACGTTTACGGAGTTAAAGATCCATACGTTACGAAATCTTGAGTAAGGGGGGTGAGAAAGCAGAGGAGGGAAGAAGGAGAGACCGCGATTTTTCTACGAGGTCTCGCGAATTCTTCAAGTCTCACCTTGAAGTCCTGCTTCTTGGACAGCCCGTGTGCGGCGACGTGTCGCGTGTAATAACGATCGGAAAGTGCGTTCGCGTGCGATATTCTGGAATCGACGAACGCGTAGCGGGACACGATCTCCGGGCTCTTCTGCGTCTGCATCATGCTCTCGTCGTACATGGCGGAGGCCGGCAGCGTGCCCACCGGCTGCCTCGTGAGATAATCGTCGTTGTATAGGTCGGAGTTGTCCTTGAACTCGAAATTTTCCTCGGGCGCCGGCGCGTGCGACGATTGTGCGAACGAGGAGACACCTGCAATTAGCGCGCCAATTAGCGCACATTGACGCCCCCGTCTCGGGACCAACACTTTCTAAATTAGCGAGCGCACGACCTCGCACCGGAGAACGGAGAAATCCGTCTCGTCTGCGCGGGACCAAGTCGCTCTCCGTGCTCTCGTAATCTCCGAAGAGTTCGGAGGCTCGCCTCGCACGTACCTTTCCCGACGATATTACCGATACTGCCGATGATGCTCGGTAGGAAGAGGGCGAGCAGCATGCTCTTGATGATCTGCACGCCGAAGAACAGCGGCAGCAGCAGCTTCTTCAGACCGAACGCTAGAAAACCAAGCCCGAATCCTGTTAAAAAGGTACTCTTTCCCTGTAACATGGCTGAAAGCAAAAGTACCAGCCGGTTAAAGCCCTGCGGTTAGTCCTGAAAGCCATGCTGCAGCCAACATCTCTTTCGTATTCTACCTCTCCCTCCCTCCTTCTCTCTCCCCCTCTCTCTCTCTCTCTCTCTCTCTCTCTCTCTCTCTCTCTCTCTCTCTCTCTCCGACTTTCCACGTGCCACACGTTTGCTGAAACATTCCATGTATCGTGTACGGATGAAGAAAAACAAAAAGGGTTCTCCAGCATAATCGCAAATCGCAATTAATCTGGCCGCGCGAGCGCGAAACTCGGTTTAGTCGGCGCTTTCGCCAATTAGCCATCGGACCCAACCTCGTTACTCGATTTACCGCCAAAAAGCCACTTGATGGAGTTAGAGCCCCCTGTCGCACCCCGAGCTCGTTTACGCCAAGTCGCGTCCACGAGCGCACCGAGTTTGTCGCTTGTGAGGTAATTAGGAAAAACAAAGGATATGTTAAAATCGATGTGCGCTCACCACGAAGAAGGGGCGTATAGCAAAGCGACACTGACTACCTTTCCCTCTATTAAAAAAGGACACGATATATATATATATATAGAGAGAGAGAGAGAGAGAGAGAGAGAGAGAGAGAGAGTCTTTAACGACATCTCTTTAATAATATGTGAAACCCTGCGTTTTTCTCCGGTTAGGCGAGAACAGGGCTAGAAACGAGACGAGAAGGCGTGTGTCGATTTCATGCACGCGCTTTTACCCCTTTTTCGTGGCGAACCGTCCGTTTGCTCTCGCACCGCACCAATCAGACCGCGGATGTCGCGAGGCGATTTAAAAAAATCCACCTGTCGCGTCGCGCGACGGAGGTAACGTGGCACTGGGTACACACGCGAGGAAAACCAAGCGGGTTTTGCTGGGAAACTCACAACCGAAGAATGTCCTGGCTTTCCCGACGAGGCTGAGGTCCTTGTTCAGCTGTATCTTCATCACGTGCGTCCGGGCGTAGCGATGCACCTTGTCCAAGAGGTTCGTCTCCTCGCCGTCGTCCCTCCGATTGTTGCACGTGACGTTCGCCCGGGGCTTCTTCACTATCTGCACGGACTTGCTCACGTTGTACGTGTCGACCCGCGAGATGCGGTCGAGAAAGTTCAAGAAGTCCCTCCGGAGGCAGGATAACATCTGCGAGCCTCTGCATCTCGTCGAATTGGACGGGTAGCGGCGATCCGTCGCCTCGGTCGTCGCCGAGGTCGCCTCGACCGGGCTAGCCGTGGTGGCGTTGTCCATCCTCGTCGGCTCGATCTGATCGTTCGCCTTGTCGTCCGCGTGAAACTTCACGTCGAACTTGCTCGGCTTGCCGGGCACGTTGTGAGGATGATCGGTCGGCGATTGGTCGGTCCGGTTTTCGGAATCGCCGGAGAGCGGCAGCTCGTTCCCCTCGACCACCTCGTCGTCGTGCGGGCCTGCGGTCTCGTTCAAGGTCGCAGCTTCCGCCTGGACCTTGACCCCCGCGGCAGCGCGGAGGCATGAAACGGCCAAGATCGCGATCGACAATATCGTGGCTGCCCTTCCTCTCGCCATCGTCCGACCTAATGAGAGAGGCACCGGGCACCGCTCGACTGACGGCTAGCTTCGGTTACCGCCGCGCGACAACTGCATCTCGACCTGCGGTTTCCTGTGCGTTTTGTTTTCTGAAACGAGACGAGAGAGGCACGGATTGGCTTTCGGCTCGCGGCGAACACGTTGCGCGCGTGTGTGGCAAAGGCCTTCGTGCAGACACGTGCGCGTACACATGCGTGTACTCTCTTCTTCTTCTTCTTCTTCTTCTTCTTCTTCTTCGAACGGACTAGTCGGGATTTTACACAGCGGACGGGACTTTCCACGGCATGTCCTTCTCGGACGAAATTTCCCGCGCGAAATTTTTCGCCGTCGCGGATCCCATCTTCGGACCTCATCTAACACCGCCTTCAACGACGCAACTTACACGCAACGGCACCCTTGCTGCCGACGAGGAAGTATTATTGTTCGAATTATTCGGTACTCGATAATAATGGCGTACTACTACACGCGCGCACGGCGAAACGCGGTTATGCTAGATCAGTCTTGCATGTCCTTCCTCTGCCTCGAACGGTCAGCTGATTCTTTCGCCCGTCGTGGGTGAACCGTACGCGCGGAGATGCCCTGCCAGGTATCGTTTCGACGGCTACAATCGAAATCAAAGTTTTGCTCCCGACGATCCCGCGCAAGCTACTCACGTTAGCTTCAGCTACCGACGCAGTCGAAAAGGAGGAGCTCGTCGCTCGGCGACGGCGAGCGAGGCGAGTTCAACGTCTCGAGTAGGAACTTGACCATCCGACACTTCAGCATCCGGTCGTTTCCACGATAGAGCGCGTGCGCTACGTCCATTCGATCGCGAACACGGCCACGTGTGATTAACGAGCGGTATATACCGAGAGAGTGCATCGTCCTTTCACCGATACATTCTAACGCCGACAACGTTCTGTCCTGTTTTTTTAGCTTACCGACGCATTTACATTACGTTAACGCCACGGACAATTTCATAGATTCATCGAAGACGCGGAGGAGCCATCAGCCGGCACATCTCGCGAATCGACCTGATACTCACTTTCACGATGAGTCGCTGACATCAACACCCGGCTCGCGCCCGGACAACAACCTCGAGGACAAGCGACGTGCTCGGCTCGGACCCGGGCGAATATTCCTGCGAAATCGAGAAGAAGACCTTTCCGATCGACCGATCGATCGAGAACGAGAGCGATAGGCAGACAAAAACTAACAGAGAAAAAAGAAGAAGAAGAAGAGAAAATTCGCCGGTCGATCAGTCGGCGGAGCGCGTGGGTTTCGAGCGGCCGGGAAGTCGGAATCGTGGACGACGTCCGACACCGTACTGCCAGCCGGTCTCCGTAGGATCGGCTCGACTGACCCGATCTGGGTTACCCGGCCATTCGTCTGTCCGTCCCTCTATCCGTTCCCTTCCGCCTCTTCCTCGCTCACCACGTTCGTTCATTCGTCCGTTCGTTCCCGCCACCGACGCCTCAGGACGCTGGCAATGTCCACTCTTCTGCTTCTTCCTTGTCTTCTTCTTCTTCTTCTTGCTACTTCCGAGGAAGAGTCGCACATGACCAAGGGTGAAATCGCAGAGCCCACGGGTGGGATATCCCAGCCCGACTCCCCCCCCCCCTCCCCGCGTGGGGCCGGTTGAATTTGTCGAAACGACCGGCCTGTGCACGCACGTAAGCACGCGGATCGGCGATTTCACTCGGCGCTATTTCGGCGAGTGTTCCCCGAGAGCTCCGACCGGTAAGCTTCGCGCCGACGATACCGACGACGCCGCCGCTCAATGACGCGGGGAATTTGTCGCAATTACGCGGCGCGCGGGATCTTCTCGCGCGTCTTCTAGGCTAATCTGATAACACGACGGATTTTGATGGCTTGCGAACGAAGTGACGGTAAAGAAAAGGAAATCGAGTCGATCCGGAAGAAGCCGGCGCGGCGCGCCCAGACGCAAATTCCTAAACTCGTTTGACTACATTTTTTCCACACGCCGAAGTTGACCCGTCTCTCTCCCTTGGTCGCGTCCTACCCTGGTCCTAACCTGGTGTCCTAACTTCGGTATCTCTTTGTATCTTTTCCACTTCATCTTTGCGTATTGATATCTCAAGGCTACTGCGGAATGCGGAGAGCGGTTTGACCCCCTGGTTGCAAGTTTTTCGTAAACATTTCATTTCATTCGCTTCATCAGGGACGGACGAAGAGGCAACCTGACTATTATTCTTTCTTCAGGGATGAATTTCTTCGAGTCGGAAGAAGCTGGTCCCGTGGAAAAATTCAACCTGATTTAACCTCAAGCTGAAGTAAACGCTACATTTTCGTCAGTTGTATGACGAGATTTCTCTTCTTCTTCTTGTTTAAGATTTGCTGGGTAATATTTTTATTATTTTTATGCGTTTCCATCGACAAAGTTCGGACCAGAGGAAACATCAAACATGCTTCAATGCGTCGCTGAAAAAGTTAATGGGAGAAGGAGAGGAAGTGGAAGAATACAGAAATTCACAACGAGGAGAACTCGAAGGCGCGACGGTTTTTTGCGTTTTACGTTACGCGATCTACTTTTCGTGTGTAGATCGTCCTCGCGGGGCGGTGAGGTCAATGGAGAAGGCTCGTACAAATTTCTGATCAAATTAGTCACGCCGATTTCTCCTGTCGGTTTTTTTCCTCCTCCCACGCGGAATCTAGCGGTATTTTATTTCGGCGACATCACCACACCGACGACGTCGTCACCGACTCGTCGTGACCGGCGATCCTGAAAATTTGAATTTAGGTCCGGTCTGCATCCGACGTGCATGTGACACGCGCCATCCTTCTCGCCTCGCGGGAAAGTCAACAGCTGACTCCGCTCAACATTTGACACCGCGGCGTGTATACCCCGTGCGTTACAATGTGCCATTTACAACAGACGGCTCTAGCGGGGAAACCCGTTACAACGCGCGTTGAAATGCTCCTTTACGCAAGCACAGTGGAGCGATGCTCTGTACGTGTCCACGCTTTCAAACAAGTACACGCGCCAAAACAAGTACATACTATTCGAAAACAAGGTCTGGAGGCGCGAACATCGTAAACCGCGCGCGCCGGGGATTTACTTACTCACGCCTCGGCAAAAATGCGCTCTTCCCGGAAAGAGGGTCACACCGGTCGCGCTTCTTTCGACTCGTTTCACGTACAAAGTAGCCGACACACCTACAAAATTGTCCACCTGTCGCTCGGAAATGTAAGTCGCATCCATCTCTTTGGGCTCGCCCCGTGCCGGAACTCTCCGGCTGCTGTTTGCCGATATTTGTGTACTCGGCTGATCGCAAGTATTCGGTTCAATCGCGGAAAAATCGCGGAAAAATCGCGGAAGAGGCGATGGGTCGTAGACGGGCGTCAAGCGACGGCAAATAGAAATTCGAGGTCGGCTTTCTTGCAAACATCTTTATTAAAACACACATGTCTCGCGGTATAAATATACATTACAATCTTCCGTTGCAGTCTCGGCACAAGGTGAAATTTTTTCAAGAGTACCGCAAAGCGCAAATTTTAAACTAGGGGAAAGGTGAAGGAGCGCATCGATTGTCGTAAATTATCCCACAGTTTTATTTGCATTAGATCTACATCCGCGTGCGAGCAGTGCATCGTACCGCTCAAACGTCCGAAGAGGAAGAGAGAAAGAGGGGAATTGCACAGAGTAGAGAGTTAGAGAAGTCAAAACACACAAAGTAAATACCGACACCACTAAAATGTTTGCGAGAAACACCACTCGGATGCACTCGTTCTATCGAAAACTGCCCATATCGTAGTTCCCGCGCGGTTATATCGTACGATGGATATTGGCGGAAAAGCGTGCAAGCGGAAAAATCGAGTCTCTAAAGCTCAAAGTCCTGACGACATCGTCGTTTCGATCGACCGGCAGGCTCTGCAAGCAGAAATTGATTTTACGAAAAAGAAAAAAACCCATTCTCGAGAATGTTTTTATTTACCGACAGAGCCCGAAAAAAAATCGGGAGTGATTCCGATCAAACGTTCTGGTATCTTCTCGCACAGCGAAGCCGGTCAGCTGTCGCGATGCAACTGAAACCTCCCCCTTCCGAGGGGAGAAAGAAAGAGGCAAAATCTTCAATTACGTCACGTTCTCGCCGAGGTACACGTCGGCGTTCTTCCTCTCCTCGCGGCATAAAGCTCCTCCTTATCCCGCGAGAAGCACTTTCGACACGTGAAACGTAACATCGCTCGCGCGCGCGCGCGCGCGAGTCACGTGATAAACGCGCGTAAATGAAGCGCGTATGAATCGCGCGACGTGCGTGGCGGGCGAGCTCGGCGCAGGTAGATGTACACGGATATCCAGCCGAGCGCCGCGACGTGGACGACGGTCCGTTACGTTAATGTAACTTTTTTCGCTCGCACATAACGTAAGAACGTAACGGTCGAGTTGCCGCGGACGTGCGCACGCCACGTATCGATCGCGTCCGCGTAGTGGATGTGTCGCTTCCGATTCGCCTTCCCTGCCATTTCACGGATCATGCCCAGACCGGTCGTCAATGCCTCGCTCACCACTGCGTTGTTATCATAGTCTTTCGTTCGACCCGGCGCGGCGCGGCGGAGTGTCGGGCGGCCGGTCGAGCCCGCGAATTTCCACTTTCGCCTCGACACACCTGTCAAACGTCGGCCGCTCAATTTCTCGCCAATTTTCCCCCACTCTCTAGAATCCTGCACGACTCTCTGAACATTTTTCACAAGTTTCCCTTCGGGAGAGAGAGAGAGAGAGAGAGAAAAAAGAGAAATCCCCAAATTCACGGCAGAGATATCCAATTCCGAGGAAATAAGCAGGTCAGCCTAGAAATCGCCGAGATACTTTTTCGGCGGATGATGATTCAGTTGTGCGGTATCGAAAATGGAAGAGAGAGAGAGAGAGAGAGAGAGAGAGAGAGAGAGGGAGGGAGGGGGGAGAGAGAGGGGGGTGACTGATTCTACGCGGTGACTGAGTGAAACGGATCGGGACGAGCGTGTCTCGCGCAGGGAGGAGAGGAGAGGAGAGGAGAGGGACCGAGCGAGGGCTAGATTCAGCGGGCGCGACCGTCGTCGGGGACCTAAAATGTGTCGGCGACAGGTACGGCGGCGGTCGTCCGCCGCCTCTCTCGCCGTGCACCGAGCCGATAACGGTCTTCGATCGGGCCGTCGAGCGCGTGTATGTGTGTGTGTGTGTGTGTACACTCACCGCGCACATACGCACACAAGAGCAAACGTTGCCTATACTTACTCACGCACGCACAAGAGACGTGTAACGTGCGCCACGCCGGCACGAATCGGCCGGTGCGTATCAGCGGTAAACCGGGCAGTCGACCAAATCTGTCAGTAGGTCAACCACGAGGCCGTCGTACCTGGTGGCCGAGTGTCGGAATGGCCAGCGCGTGACCTTGACCACGTTTCATCCGCCCGTCTGTCGTACGGCGCGGCGACTTATCGATACTCGGCCGAAAGCGCGGGAGAAAATTGTGGGTCGTCGCGGGGAACACACGTGCGGAGTCAGGCGTAGACAGGTCGGGAGGTCGGGGGATCAAGAGTCGAGACGGCGTTGTTGCGTGTGAAAGGAATTTAATCAGGAAGGAGGATAAACTGGCAAAGAGTGAACTTTGGGCACGCGCCTGTGAAAATCAACGCGAAGTCTGTACACGATACGACATGTTGCTTTACGAGATAATCGCGCGATTATCGGAGCTCTCTTTGTCAGAGAAGGGTGATGAAGTAGGTCGGGGCGAGCACTCTTTCTGGCCGGCGACTGACGAAAGCGTCGTCGGGGTGCTTAATTGCAGGAGAAAGCTTATCAACGGAGACAACCGTGCGCGACAGCCAACGACGAGCACGTATCTCCCCGATGTCGCTCCGGCGTCGAATCGGCGACATAAATAACGCGAAACGAGCGAGCGAGATGCGGTGAACCGTAAATTAAATCGCCAGCAATCCGCCGCGTCAAGAGAGAGAGAGAGAGAGAGAGAGAGAGAGAGAGAGAGAGAGAGAGAGACAGACAAGCGCGATCTTGTCTCTCTTTACCTTCATCTGTGTTAATGTGGAATTCGAGGAAAAGGCGGATGTGGCGCTAACATCGTGCCCTTTCTCAAGTCCGCGAGAGGCTGGAGATATATCAATACGTCGCGTCGTCAAAATAACGGTAAGACTATGTGAAAGTTTATTTTGTGAACGTTTCCCGCCGAGGTAGACCGCCCGGTGAACGAGCGGAAGCGAGACGGGCGTATCTTCGCGCTGATTAAGATTCAGCCGGCATGCTATCAGTTCGCAATGAATGGGTCGCGTGCAGTCTCGCAGAAAGTTTACGCCGATCGCGGATCGACGCGAGCTGTTCGAACGTTTATTCCGACAAAATTGTACAGTCGCGTGAATTTTGTGGCGTAAATTCCTCATCCTCTCCTTCACGCGTATCACACTTCACGTGCCACTGAAATATTATATACTATATATTACTGAGAAGTACAAATCTACTATATTAAAAACAGTTCGCTATGTTTCTTCCCCCGTAGAACAAGGTATATCCAACTGATTAATTACTCACGCGCAATACTGGAAGAAAACATTGGAATGAGTATGAAATGAATTGAGGTGAAAAAGCTGCGCGGTGTGTTTTTCCGCGCGCGGGGAAATCGGTCAATCGGGTGTCTAATGTGAGGAGCATCCTTTTACGGCATTACGACTGATCGACTCTCTTCTCTCGTGCGTTCTGCGATTGTATAAGTTGCTCTGGATAGACCGGAGCCGCTATCGCGCGCCGCTTTCCGAAACATGCAGATGCAACGACGCGTCTCGGTGAGGAGAAGCGGAATAAAACAAACTCGACCCGCGCGTGTATTCCACCGACGGACGGATCGCCGGTAGCGGAAGGTTTTTCGCTACCAGCGTCCGACCGACTCATCCGTAAGGATTGCGGAATAACTGGAAACTGGGGTAACCCAGCTGGTAGTCGTTTCGGTGCCAGGTGCTATCGTCCTGGGCGTATCCTGCAACAGAAAACGCGGCAGAATTGTGTTAACGCGAGTAAAGCTGGCAAATCGGCCGCGCTCCGACGCGAGAGTGGAATTTCCGGCCGAGGATTTCGACGGGAAACAAACACGCGACGCGGCGCAAGTGAGGCTTCTCCGGGGAGACGATTGCGTTTCGAATCTGATGCTTGCCGCTCGCCATACGTCGGCATACGGTGGATATGTTTACGGCCGGTAGCATCGATACGTCACACGTGACAGCCCGTAAAGCTGTGCTGTTACCTCGTTGTCACAGCCGACTGACATTGAACTCAAGCTAGCCTAGATAGTCTCCGCATCACACAAAGCTGTCGTGTTGCTTTTATCGGAGAGGTGGACTCTTCTCTCACACGCGGGCGCACTCGCGCGCACCCGACGAAGAAAAGCCATATCGCGCGCGAGGTTGCATTTTGAAGGTAATACAATTTTTTTGAAAATAATAAATCCGAAATACAGCGGCGTGAAACTTGCTCGACTTTTCACTCCTCGCGTCATCATGCGCTTCGATATTATCCGATTGTGTGTACGATAAATTTACGGGGGGGGATAAATGTCACGCTTTTAATCTTCAAACGACTTTTTACCTGACGGGTAATCGGCCGGCGCTTCCGCCGCGGTGGACCATATGTGGTAAGGATGGGTGTGATGCGCATTGTGCTGCACTTTGCAGACTTTCAAATGCGCCAGCACGGATGGCAGGATCAGTGACCCGAGCACGAGGAGCTTCTTGATGAAGTGGACTCCCAGGAAGATCGGCAGCAGCAGCAGCTTCAATTTGATCAAGTTCAACAGTATGAGAATCGGCAGGATGATGGACTTCTTCTTCTTCTTGAAGATTCGCCAGTCGCCTAGAGCGAAGCGAAACGAGTCAACCGTTGAGTCTCGCCGCGCCAAAAATCGCCTCTCACTGTTAGACACTCGCGAGGACACAGTCGGCGGCGACGAAATATTCGTTGCCGTTACAATAAACGCGCGCCGGTAAATACTGTCATTCGCGTCGTCGCGTTCATCGCTTTTCTCAAATATACGGGACATTGTAGTAGATTGCATAGTATACACGCTGATAATACTTGTTTCCTGCTACGTTGACCGTTACCCGAAATAAAAAGCAACAGAGACCACAATTACGCCGCAGTCGCACAGATATGCCAGAATTTTAATGTCCCGTTGCACAGAAGTACAGTAAAGTACTTTCCCTCCTTATTGCTAACCGATTATTCTTACAACTAGTTATTGCCGGCCGATGAAGATGTCATCGCGGAAACTTCGCGGACAGAAAGAGGACGGAAAAGCCCCAAGAAGCTCGAGCCCCAAAGAGCATGAAACTGACTCGACGCGATTCATTACGTTAAATCTACACGGGAAGAGATTGGCTGGAAAAGACGCGAGTCACCCTGGAATGATCTCGCGGTACGTTCGACGCAATTATTCGACGCCCCACATACGCCGCTTCCGCTCTTGTTCATCAATCGGACGCTTCAACGTTCAACACTTGTTCCCCGATGCCGCGGATCTCTTACCTTCTTCTTCCCTATCTTGCAACCTCTTGATTTCATCGTCATCCATAACCATCAGACCCGAAGAGTAGCCTCTGGCGAATGGCGGCGAATTGTCTATCGTATACGCAATGGCACGTTTCGTCAACAAATCTTCGACGCTGTTCCTAATGAAGTTCAAGGCTTCCGTTACGCTGCCTCTGAATGCCCGGGAACGTGGTGGCAAATTAGGCAGGAACGATTGCTTGTGCATCGACGGTATCCTGATCACTCGAAATGGTCCGTAACTAAATTCCTACGTTATCAAAAAAAAAAGAAGGAAAAGTACACCATTATTATCTTCATGGCGCACATCACCGCGCAATGTCCAGAAGCCGCATCATCGAGAGACATCGTGACGTTCACGAGAGAATACATTAGAATGCTCGAGATAATTCATATCAATAGCCAAATAAAAAGAAACAGAGAGAGAGAGAGAGAGAGAGAGAGAGAAATGGTGAATTCGTCTGGCACTACAATTCGACGAAGCGTCGAACATTTTCGAGGTACCGCAGAGTCTCACCTTCTCTTTCACCAACGTGTTCAACCACCTGGCGACTTTGTACTTGCTGCAGCTCACAAAGTCCCTCAGTAGACTGCATTCCATTTGGCATTTTTGCACGAAAGGGTCCGTCGCGTTGTCGAGAGCCGACGAGTGGCTCGCGACGATCAACAACAGGAGGAACAGCCAGCACGACGAGAGCCGCGTCGCCGGCGGACATCCGGTCTCGCGAGGCCAGCCGCGACTTCCGCGCTTCGCAATTCGGACCGAGACCATCTCTCTCAGTCCCGTTGATTTCGATCGGCCGTGTTGCGTCTCATCGCAGACGTCGCTGGTGATCGCCCGCGCCGTGTCGGTCCCGCGCGAACATCGCGAGTCGCATCACAGATAGCAGAGCAAGAAGCGAGCCCAGGCTCTCTCGAGGAGTCCCAGCGGCAAAATTCCGCGATTAATTGCGGGGACTCATCAAGTACTGTTACGAGACGAGGCGTCGGCTGTGTTCACCACGCGTCGTGATATCACGCGCACTACTTTCGTGACTTCCGCGATGATCCGCGCGGTGCAGAAATGCGAGAGATTCGGTGCGCAAGCTCACTGACAGTGCTTAGAAGGTGTCTTGGCCATTTATACGGCGTGCATTTAGGTCGGTGGGGGTAACGGTCCATGGCTTAGATAATGTCGCGCAGAGATTGCAACCGCATTCTGCGCGCGGAGCGCTGTCGGGAGAGAGATGCGTCGAGGAGCGCGCGCCGCACTCTGTCCGCGGCTCTCATGTAACTTGGTTAGGTGGTGCACGCGATCGCGAGGCAGACTCGCCATGGAGTCGGTAACGTGTCCGCCGGGGCATCCTGAGGGATGAACGATGATCGAATGTCGAGCGAGCGAAGAAACAAAGCAAACGCCGAAAGGCGAAAGTGCCGAAATGTTCACTCTTCGTTTTTCTCCTCTCGAGATATTTCTCGACTTTCAACCGCTCAATGACATTTTCTCAATACTCTCCTAATACCGGGAAAATTATTAAAAATGAAATTTTTAAAATTTCGCAGGTTTTACAGAAACCTACGAGCGATCTACCTCTCACGTATGCGAACTTTGCTCTTCTCTCCGGCGACGTTCCCTCGTGCCTGGGCTTGACAAAAATGTTCGCCTGATAAGCGCGAATTACATCAGGAGGAACCTCGCGACGCACAGAACCGCGACGCTGACGATCTCGAGCGACTGACTGAATAGATCCAATCAAGAGGCTCCCGAGAAGAAGAGTACGCGTAACCTTATTTTTGGCTGAGCGAAAAAATGGTCTTAACGGTACATCGCAGCAATGGCACGACCAAGTTGTCAACCTAATGGCTACCAGACAATCAAGATTTTTTCGCCAATGTCTCCGCGAGGTTCGCTCGCGGAGGAGCAGCGGTGAACCACATACTATGTAATCACTATCATCACACGCGCCACGTTGTACTCCATTTTCGTTGTGTAGGTTCGCAAGGTCACCGAGACGGAGTGTACGATATTCAAACTCGCGAAATGAGAGCAAACGCGTTACCACGTCCGCGGCGTTCTTTTGTCATATGAACGGACGAGCCTCGCGGTAATATGCAAGAGAAGGTTCACTGCTTCGCGTGACATTCTCATCCGCGAGATAATTGCGGACGGAACGCTTCTCAATCACTGGAAGCGCCATATTTTCCGACCTACCCACCCGCAACGACCGCCAAATTTTTTGCCACTGATAATCGCGGGAAACGTTATGCACATAAATTATCTCTTCGTAATGCGGGAAGCAGACGACGGGGTCTTTGTTCCTCGCGAAAACATTCGGGACAGCGCGCGGTTGACCCTTTGACACTGCACAATAAACAGACAACTTTGGACCGTGTCGTGAGTCAGTCAGCGGAAGAACTTCTTGAGAACCTGAAGAGCGCGAATTTTAAACTAAGAAGGTACGCATGGTTTCCTCAAACCGTGAAACGTTTCCTCTTCCTCCCGTGAAGAAGCTTATTCTATTTCGACGGAAAAGTGAAGATTTCGTTAAATGTATCATTGGCATCTTCACTGAGTAAACATTTGTTTATTTCTCTGTTCAATGCAATTCACACACACACACACACACACACACACATACCGCAATTTGCCGGCGTCATTTGCACAAGTGCGTCCACAGCTCCGAAGAGATTGATCGCCTCGCGGAGAAGAACATCATCGCCGAATTCACTCTCGATTGCTCGCGATTCGCGTGAGACTTCGTGGTCGGCCCACGATCCGTGACTTTCGACGAGTCGTGGTTTACGAATAAGTTTCCGAGGAGGCCGAGGCACTCGTCGATTTTCTCCGCTGAGGCTCCGAGACGCGAGTTTCCTGTTGCGAGATGAATGACAGTTCCCGCTCGACGCCGTCGTCGTTGATTCGTTAAACACTGACGTGAGACTGTTGAACGCGTTGAGCACAGCGCGCTCGCGAAATCCTTATGTAACTGCGACGAGCGAGCAGGCAGGATATGACGGACGATAAATAAAAAACTGTTAATGGGCTTAATAATAGATCGACCTATTAACGCAATCATCGCCGCCGCGCCGCCGCCTTTCCGCTACGAGCAGTCGAAATATCGTCGTGTCGCACAGTCTGTTTAGCGCAACCGGTTTCTGCCCTCGTATGCGCGCGACAGACCCAGACTGTTTCACTTCAGCCTCGCGTCATATTGTTTATTTGGCAGTTTTCAGAACCACTCGCTGCTCTCATACACGACGCTCGTTAACTGATCTTCACAGCACGCTTCGTTTACTCCGGAGTATCGTGTCGTGAGCAATGTTGAAAATCGCTCATGCGTTCGCTCATAACGTGTTACGCTGCGCAAACAGTTAACGAAAAATGATCAAACCGAGATCGAATCGATCTCATTCTGACTCGTCGCGTTGTGGTGATTCACGCAATTATCACGCTCGGCATCGCGCCGAGGCATCGCGTATCGACGCTCTCTGCGCGTCTGTTAACGATATTTGCGACTATATTTTTCCCCATTGATAATCGGCCAGTCGTCGATTACGGTATAGTAACCGTTATCCGCGTGATACTATCGGATCGAAAACTCGTGCAACATCTCACGCGAAAGTATAGCATCCGCGTCCACAATGAAACCCGTAAATACTACGATCTCATTCACCGATCTGTTCACCGCCACCTATGATTCGCCGATCGGACGATGGTGTGTCTCCGCCGAAGGGTTCGAGTCCGACTTCCCGAGAGTTCTCGGAGCTACGCGAGGAAAACGGAGATCCGCGCAAATTCCACCGAGCATTTCGCTCGCGCGCGCGTCTTCGCCGGACGCAACCCGGAAGGTGCAACCGATGGTGCACCCCGTTCTACTGGCCTCGAAATTAGACCTGTCGCAATTTGCATAGGGAATAAATATACCGAATGGTCGAGACCGAGTGATCGTCTCGTTTCCGCGAATGACACACGCGAATGGGGTTGTTAACGCGGACGAGCGGGCAAGCACGCCTTTCGGATAACCAACCACGTCTACCCGTCCACGACTTCTGGTGCTTTCACTAGCGGTTTACGAGCTCGTCGCAAAAAAAAAAAAAAAAAAGGCACGCGCCACGGCCGGCGGCTTCCGCATCGACGAAATTATCAGGTAATGTAAGAAGATGCTCGAGCATATCTTGGCGCGGAAAGAACCGGGCGGAATTCTGATGCGCGCGTGTGCAAGTTGCTTGCCGCGACGCAACCTGCTTACCCCTTTGCCCGATTGACCCAGTACAGGATGCTGACAGGATATAAAATGAATAATCTCGTCGCAGTCGATCGACGATCTCGATATTCTACTTTGTTCGTTGTTTCCAGTCGACAGGCCAGTGGAGACCGGAGAAAGACGTGTGTGAGAGAAAGAGAATAAAAGCTGAGAGAGAATATAAGAAAGAATATAAGAAGATAAGAAAGAGTATAATGAGATAAAGAGTATAAATATAAGAAAGAATATAAGAAGAGAGAATATAAGAAAGAGAGAGACGGAAGAGGGGAGACTTTCTCTTGAGAGAAGAGCAAGGAAATCCGCTCAACGTCAGACCTGAGCCGATAATCGGAAATCACTCAAAGTACGCGCTTGAATCGATAATTTTAGCAGAGAGAGGCTTGAGTCGCTCGTAAATTAATTTTGTCAACGAAAGGGGAAGAGCGAAGCGTTAGCGAGGCTGAAACGCGCACGCGTTGCAGCAGCACAACGTGTTGAAGAGGCGGCTGATTTTACGCGGCACTAAAAGGCGCGACCAATCGGTAATATCCAAGCCGGCACCGTGAGATTTATCTCAGTTAGTCAGTTATGGCCGCCGTGTGGTGTTTTACGGCCTAGTTCATGAAGAGTCTAACTGCGCGCCTGAACAATGACGGGATGAACGTTGAATGGCGCGTGAATGACATCGCGTGGCACGCTAATTCATATCCGCCGCTTATCGCGACGATGTGCAGCCAACGTCTTCTCGGCGCGAGTCTCGAGTCCGATGGGTAATCGCTAATTCGCATTCCACTGCGAGCGGCCTGTGTAGACGTATTTGGCGACAATCTCGCGACAACGGTTCACGAATGGGAAAGCGACTCGGGGTCAGTCCGAAACAACTTCGATTAAGGCCTTTGACCGTCATCGTCCATGCTGCCGGGGATATGAATCATAAATTGTCGTTCGCCGACGTTCGTAATCGCGCGCGTTAGACGAAGAGAAAACGGAGAGAAGCTCTCTTTCAACTTTGTTCTCCGTTCTCACGTCTGAGACTGCAATCTTAGTGCAAATAGCAGGAAGCCGCAATGGATCGGCGTGAAAATCAAAGGCCGCAAGGATAAATAGTGGGGCGGAGGTACAAAGTTTTCGTTATGCAATTACATATCCGTTTCAAAGAATCAATCAGTCAGAAATGTAGAACTCGCGTTTGCATCTCCTCGTTTACCTTTAGAGCTACCGTCGTAAATAATTTAACTGGTCCTTTTTACAACTTGCTGTTTTTCATATTACAATTTTTATATCTCTCTTTTCTTCGTGTTTGTTCATCAGGTTGAAATTTATGCATTGTATGCCAAAAGGATATAATGAATAAATGTAAATCAATTTTTCCTAAACTATCCATTTTTGTCTTCATACGCGAGATATTAATGCCGTAACTCTTTGAGTAGCTCTGAATAAAAAGAAATAAGATGACCAGATTAATGGGATTAATATATATAATAACAAGCGATATATTAAGCCTGCAGATTCTCTTGCAGCGATTTTGAAGGGGATATAATAAATATATAGATTCCTTCAGCTTCTCTATCGCGGCTGTCCACCAAACGCTTATTTAATATGGAAACGAGATAACCGCGTCTGTACTTTCGACTCGCACTTCTGTGTAATCAAGCGCAGTTACATTCACATGATCGATCGACCGATTCCAGCAGGAAATCTCACCCGCAGCAGATAATTTTATCAGAGACAATATGTTCATGCAACGATATTACGAGGCAGTGATGCAACGAGGACGTGTGACTAAACTCGTTACGATACGAGAAAACGGCGTCGGTTTCACAGCATCCAGTCAAACTAGATCGGCTCGTCAACGCCTGCCGGTGTCTATGTCGGCAAGAAAAATTTGGAGCACCCGCTTTTTACAGTGGCGAGAATATTGAGACGAGAAAAATGTGCCATCGTCTGTCGTGCAATATTCTCCCCAAGTACCCGAGCGTGCACGTAATTACGGGTCACTTGACAAAAACACGCCCTCGTAACTGCGATTTTTCTCTCTCTTCTTCACGCGTGAAATGTACGGAAAAGCTTGAATCCCGATATTCGCCGACCAAAGAAGCGCGCATGTAGCCAATCGCAATTTCACGATATACAGTAGACCGGTTCTGGCGGTGGACAAAAAAGACACATATAACTGTCGTATCACCTGTAACCATATCACCGACTCCTTTCTACACTAAAATGAACGCGTAAACATATTACTGCCTCTTTTTCGCGGTGTCGATGCACTACCTCGGCACTGCTTACTTCTCGCGAGCTGTCGAAGTTTTCGTGCTCTGACAACTTGAGATTGCTCGATACATTGCACCGGCTCCTTTCAACGTCGTCTAACCCTTATCCTGGTCGCTCTTCTTCTCGCGATGAACCGAAATGTTCGCGAAACGTTGGGAAAATACGACAAGGAGAGCGTTTTCAATTCGAGGGCCGAAACGAACGCTGTTCGCATCGCAGCCTTGACAAATATCAATGTTCAAGTAGCATGGCACGAGTTTCTCGAGTGTTAAGTAGGATTCGGCAAACCTCTTTTCATGAAACCGGAGCGACATACTTTCATTTTAAAATTCAGCGTAAAAATATACATAAAACAATATACATAAAACACGCAGAAAACGACGATAACCGACAGACTAATGCTTGAACTAATAATTATATATTATAACGTAAAATGAGATACACACAAAAAATTGCATTTATTCAAAGGCTATCAAATATTGCGTGTTACATTCTACATGAGATTATCATCTATCGACAGTATATCATTATCGGACGTCGCTTATGCACCGTTGGTTATCGTCGGTAATTACGCAACGATTAATTATTAATCGAGATAACTGTATTGAAACGCGCGCGGAATAACGTCGGAAAGACACCGGTTCTAAATATGAATGCGAAAACCGCTAAAGTCAGCGCGATGAATATCGTCGTGATTTCTACTCGTCACGTCGGAAATGTTAATTTCACTCGTAGCCGATAATTTTGACGGAACATTGTACCGTATTCGACGTCGGGCAAATAGGGAAACCTGTTGCATTTCATGCGTTATGAGATTCTTATCTAGCAAATAAATAACGATGTGATCTCAGCACGCACATGCGTTCACAGACAACACACCGCTCTGCATTCGATCTTTCCCTCGATCTTCTGCATCGCTATTTTTCCCTCGCGTCATCTGTTTTCGGACATTTTACACTCGATCTCCACGCGTAAGTGGGGTAGCAATGTCTCTCTCCCCCACCCCTCTCTCCCTGTGCCATTATCATCCTCGTGTCAAGTGCGACGAATGCGGAAGAAGTCAACATCGACGGTAAACGCACGACGCTCCGGTGTGATTTGTTTAATACCAGCTGAGAATGTCGGTCTGTAATGTTTATGGATGACACCATAGGTGCCTATCTCATTAACCCATAAACGCTGCTTCCTTTTGCATCGAGATAGTTTTTTGTCAAAGTGCCCGCCGATGAAGCACGGACTTTGTCTATTTTGAATGACTGTAATTTGCAATTGGCTGATTGAAATCAGTTATTTCACGTTCTGTTAACTGAATCAGGCTGCGCAAGAGCACTCGAACTGTTATCGTCTTTCACGCGTTTGTTTACGCGTTTCCTTTTTTTTTACCGATATTTCTCTCAAGAGATGTAGCAATTGCACCGAGAGAAGAGTTATCTAAAATATAACGATTACTCGTTCGATATGGATATAGGTAAATGACTCATTTGCTTGTATTAATATACACGTTTTCACACTGAGAAGAAATTTTGCTTCAGTGAGAAAATATGCATATTTTAGAAATAATTGTTTAATCCATTTGAATAAAATAATTTAGATTTTTTTTTTTAACGAATAGCTTTATTTTCCGAATATCTTTTCTCTCGGTATGCCAACCGCACACAATACAGTTACTATTATATTATCATTGTTAAATATGCTGTTAAATAAATCAGCAATAAGAAACGTGGCGTTTCTCTCTCGTCTGATGTATTTATAGTTAATATTATTAATTCCAAAGATAGATATATTGTGAGTAGCGTAATGTATGCGGTACAATATTAAGAGCACATTACGCAAGTACCGCAACGGTGATACACACGCGTGATAGTAAAGAAGCGAATAAATCTCACGTACATGCACACACATGGCGCCTAATTGTGTCTGCGGGGCGCGTCGCCGGTTTTTCCGCGACGATATCTATACATCCCATAAAACCCCTGCGAGACGCTTATAAAATATTGATGGCGCAGTCGCGCGCCGACCCCCTTTCCGCTCGGCAGTGAAAAGGTACGCGGCATACATACGTCGAATTAATTAGGGTCCCGCGGGGCATTAAAACGCGTTTTGTTCATCCGCGAAGGTTAGCGAACCGTCCCTCCGGTCTGGAACGTCACGGTCGGATTACAACGTCGTCGTGCTCGCGATTACACGACACGAGTTCGACTTGTACGCGTCTCCGTCGCGGCATTATCGGCACGTAGATCGATCTGCGATCGGGCTCACCTCTTCGAGCCCACGGCGATTAATGGCCACAGTTGAACGCGTCGCGAATCTCAAAAAACGAGAATTTGTTTGCCGTTACAGCCGCGGTGATTTAGCGCGCGTTTCGATCGCAGTCATCGCGTTCAATTAACGCCGATAGGATTATACGCGACGCGCAATCAATGTTGCACGTGCGGGTCGGAACTCCGCCGCGCGGCGACGATGAAATCGCGATCGCGAGTGACCCGATACGTTTTCCGGCCGGAAATTAGTTATTTTTTAATCACAACACGTAACGCTGCTCGCGTGAAAAATGTTGACGCGAATATCATCATCGCGTTGCTCTTGATATTCAGATGGGGAAAAAAGCGGGAATAAAATAATCAGGTTGTAACAACATCGTCGTCGTCGTCGTCGTCGTCGTCGTCGGGTCACTTCGCGACGCTTGACACCGTACGGTCCCTCGATAAAGGAAGGATCCGAATTAACATATTAATGCCGGTTCTACACAATAGCCACGCGGTCGATTCTATATAATTTCAAAGATCGCGCATGGCCATTGCATATTTAACCCTCTCACATCGCGCTCATTTTAGTCGCTCGACACAGATTTCTTTCTTCGCTCTGTGACGCGGCGGCTGTCGATTTCGAATCGGTGTCAGGTGTTTACATAAACACGGACGTGGTTTATTCGTTCAGCTGGACAAATAGCGACGTTCATCGTTGCTCTTTCTCCCTCTTTCTCCCTCCTTCTCTCTCTCTCTCTCTCTCTCTCTCTCTCTTTCTTTCTCTCGCAGTCGAAAAAGAAATTCGCCGGGAAATTGTATTAGCCGTAGGGCTTCGCCGCACCTCTGCGACACTTTTTTCAAAAATGTATCTACGAGTATCGCTTTGAAGAAGCAGGAGGGGGAGACGGGAAATCATCATTCCACTCTAAGCAGCCGCCAGCGATTTCCATTAATATCGCACGGTATGTATCGAAATTGATTATCACGCTCGGTTTCATCGAGATCGCGCGTTATTGATCCTGCTGCTGCGTAGCGCGTCGGCGTGAAGTCGAGCGCGGCCTTTCACGATCGTTAAACGGTACGTCGCACATTCAAGGCAGAACGCTTCGTAAACGAAGAAGAATAATTCCCGATTATCCTCGTTACGAACAATTATGCGAGATGAGTTACAGCTTACATTAACCTAATCATCAATCCTTCGTGCTGCCGACTAAATCGGCTCACGCAACCCAAGTGAGAGAGAAAGTAACAGTTGGTAATTTCGTAACGTGGGAATTATACGCGCGATCGTTTGTATGCATGTGTGCGTGTTCCCAAATAAAAAAAAAGGCGCTTAAATCATAAGAATGCGCGATCTCATCGCCGCGACGCGGAGAGACGTCCGTGGACAGAGAGTGTCGTTGAAACGTCCGGTGCGTCCAATTAGCAAGGTCACATGGCGTTATTATCGCCTTGAAAGTGAGCTTCGAGACTCGTCCCAGAAAGCTCCTTGGAATATGTGTGCTCTGCCATATTGAGGACTACTTAACGCACTACTTAAGGACTACTCGAAGGCATGCATAGAACGGCTGCTCAATTGGGAAGAATCGTCGCCAACGCGATGATGATAACATAATGCCCGTTTATTATTATAATTACGCGCAGAATATGAGACATACCGGCGTACCTGCAAGTGGTGAGGTCGTATTTGCAAGTCAAAAGCGCCATGGCAGAGAGAGAGAGAGAGAGAGGGGGGGGAGAGAGAGAGAGAGAGAGAGAGAGAGAGAGAGAGAGAGAGAGAGAGAGAGAGAGAGAGAGAGAGAGAGAGAGAGAGAGCCGCCTTGAGGAATTAATAAGAGAGATGCAATGATAGATGACACGACTCATCAGACTCGAGCGAGCGAAACATGACGCGAATTCGACTTTGTCCAGCGTAATCCTGCTTATCACATTTGTCTATTTCTGCCAATTGCGCACCGGGGCAAAGTGTTCGGCGATAGCGTGCGCGCCACTCTTGGTGTTATCAGCGAGTCCGCCTCGTTATCAGGTAAGGGGAACGTGTGCCACCATCTGGTGGTCAAGTCGGCAAACACGGACGGCGCTCTGCGCGCGCAACGCGGTCTTATCGATGAGACTTGAACGCGGTAGAAGCAAACTGGATGGATCGAACGACGGTGCGAAGGGGAGAGACGGAGCTGCGCGTGTGCATGTGTAGGAAGCGTGCTAGAGAGAGAAGGAGACAGAGGTAGAGAGCGAGAGAGCGAAAACGAGAGAGAGAGAGAGAGAGAGAGAGAGAGAGGGGGAGAGAGAGAGAGAGAGAGAGAGAGAGAGAGAGAGAGAGAGAGAGAGAGAGAGAGAGAGAGAGAGAGAGAGAGAGAGAGAGAGACAGAGAGAGAGAGAGAGAGAGAGAGAGGAAGAACCCAGCGCTGGTCTCTCTGGAGCTGGTCAGTTGGCTGGGAGCTGGGTGAACAGCCTGTCCCGTGCTAGAGAGCGACACGTATGTCGTCTCTGTGGAGCCTGACGGACTGCTGGCAAGTGCGCAGGTACTCGTCGCAGATGCAAGCAGCGTCGGCTCTTTAACTCACTGTGCTGCTGACGGTGAAAAAGCGGCCAGCAGGTGGAGGAGGAGGAACGCACGAGGAAGCGACCAGGTGGGGAAGTCGTGGGTCGTAGCATCGACGAGGTGAACACTCGTGGCGAAAGATGCCGGTGCCAACGGAGAGTCTGGAGGAGACACCCTCCATGCGGAGAATAAATATCGATCGACCGTACTGGGATCAGAGCACCTACCGCGGTAGGGCCCTGCACTTCCTCACGGTAACGAATCCGCTCAATATCTTCGCCACGAAGAAGGAACTTGAGCGCGCGCGCGAGGTCGTCAAGAAATACAGGTAGTCGTTTAGCTATAATTAGTCCGTTCTCCGCCGCTCCTTTTCTCGTTTTCCTTCGCTTTCTCACCGCAAGGGAAACACGTAATCGCGGCAACGCGCGAGTGTGGCAAACATCTACTTGTTGATGTTGCCTGTTAGCGTTACGTACAATTGATGTCTGTTTACGTCACGGGTTAGAGGCCTGATAGTCGCGGCGACTCGTCGAACGTTCGGCCGCATCGACAAGAAAGACATGATAAATAATCCTAATCAAGAGGCAGAGAGAGAGAGAGAGAGAGAGAGAGAGAGAGAGAGAGAGAGAGAGAGAGAGAGAGAGAGAGAGAGAGAGAGAGGGGGGGGGGAGGGGATGAAAAGAGAAGACGGAAAGTCGAGCAGTTGCTCCGACTGTTTCGCGCGTTTTGTTTGTAACTTGATTTATGATTTTTGTAATTAATATACGAGGTGTCGCGCATCTTTTTACGCTCTGATTTGAGCGGCTTGTGTAATCCTAATATGATCACAGAGAAAGCGACGACGGGGACCTGGAAAAGTTTGAAATAGCCGAGAAGGAATTATGGCGACACAAATATCTTTACGACAGCGCTTTTCATCCCGACACCGGCGAGAAGATGCTGCTGATAGGTCGTATGAGCGCCCAAGTGCCCATGAACATGCTGATAACCGGCTGCATGATGACGTTTTACAAGTACGTAATCTGAATCAAAGTCGATTCGCCGCGAAAAGAAAACGCGATAAACGGACTTCGACCCGCGATACCTCCTTATGTCAAAATCCATTTGAAGCGCGCGTCGCGCGTTCCCGATAACGATATCCCTCAACTGTCGCGTTGCTCAGAATTCCGTTTCGACGCGATACGCGGTTGTAGCGGTCGCGAGTCGCGAAAGAAAAAGTTTGAAATCAAAAATATGGACGACTAGAAGTCTAGGACGTTACTCGATTGCCGTAATGTCAACATTAAAGCTGCGTAAATTTGCTCTTTGGCGACGTTTCTGTCTCTCAAAATATTATTCTATATGAGAAAAAATGTGCCAATTGTATCAATAGTGTCACGATTGGATTAGATGTTCCCGACTCGATGACAATATAATTGAAATATAATCATCACATTTTTTTTTTAATAACCCGGTCGAATTAGCTTCAAGTACTCTTCAATGTACTTTTGTGTTCGCAATGTTCTGACATTTCGTCGCATGCGTTATCTTCCAACTGTAAACATTGTTGTTTCTCTAATTATTACATCATTCCGTATTGAATAAGGCCCACGGAATATATCAAATATTAGTTTCGATATATGATATACTATTGATGAATAAAATTAATTTTAATTCTGGCGCCACACAGCGGGCAATTCTACCGATATATATCACTTTTCCGTGTCTCCAATGTTCCTTCGGCGATAAACGTAGATTGACCTTGGAGAGGAAAACGTGCATTCTCGCCGCTGCCCTCGTCGTGACATATTGTGCTTGCGATTGTCCAGGTCCACGCCGGCCGTGATATTCTGGCAATGGATCAATCAGTCGTTCAACGCTATAGTGAACTACACGAACCGCAGCGGCTCCAACCCGATCTCGACGGAGACGTTGACCCGGAGCTACGTCGGTGCCACCGGCGGCGCCGTCATCACGGCGCTGAGCCTGAATCGTCTGGCCCAGCATGGGCCGCCATTGGCGGGCCGTTTGGTGCCTTTGGCGGCCGTCGCAGCCGCTAATTGCGTGAACATTCCTCTCATGAGGATCACCGAACTGCAGAACGGTATCGAATTGCAGAACGCGGAAGGCACGAAGGTCGGCCAGAGCAAGCGGGCGGCGAAGCAGGCGATCATGTCAGTCACGTTATCGCGAATACTAATGGCTTCCCCGAGCATGAGTAAGTTTCGCAATAAGCCCGTTAGCTTGTACTTTTAACAAAAATATTCCAGCTCTTGTAATCTGACTCGATTCTTTGCACAAATTTATCTCTTTCTCTCTCTCTCTCTCTCTCTCTCTCTCTCTCTCTCTCTCTCTCTCTCTCTCTCTCTCTCTCTCTCTCTCTCTCTCTCTCTCTCGACGTTTGTTGTCGGACCGTAAAAATTCGCGCAACATCTCATTTTTTGTTTCTCGATCGTTGCAGTAATAGCGCCGATAGTGATGAATTACTTGGACCGGAAGCAGCTGTTGCGTAACATGAAGTGGGCAGCCGGGCCGATTCAGGTCCTCATTTGCGGGGTCTGCCTGACCTTCGCGACGCCGCTCTGCTGCGCCCTTTTCGCGCAGCGCGTACCTATTCCGGTGCAGCACCTGGAGCCGGAGGTGCGTGACAAGGTGTTGGCTTCGCATCCCGAATTGGATACGGTATACTACAACAAGGGCCTGTGAAGTCGAGTTGGGACTAGATCCCCCGGGCGAGTTTCCACGATTACCTCTACGCACGGTCCAAGAGCGCGGCGTACTGTCTTGAAACTCAGGTACAGACGAAGCATTCCCACGAGAACGCGGTGCTCGACCGAGAGCGCGCGTTCGTTCATCGGAGAACCTCCGGCAAAGTTCTACGTGGAATCCGGTTCGATCCGACGTCGGGCGACTTGAAGCTCCGCAAAACGATCGACATTCCGAGCTGTCATACGGCGAGAAGCCACCGAATCATCGATATCGCGCCGATATCGGTGGAGATTCTCTTCCACTTCCACCTTCGCGTATTATGTAATTTCGTAAGTTTGAAAAAATTCAGGGTTAAACGTGAGAACAGGTAACGAAGACAATAAAATATTGTATGTGTTCCAGTAACGTATGAGTTTTTATTGCGTGTGTCTCGCTTTATCGTTATGGTTATCACGTGCTCGCCAGACGACTCAGTATGGGAAACAGTTTAAACTTAACTGGCACTTCTCGAACTTGGAGGCGGCCTTGGTATCGATCACTTTGACGGGCGGAGGCGGCTTGATCTTTCGACCATGTCTACCATCCTTGCGATGCCAGAGACCGCTCCTCGGCCGATTTCCCAATTCGCGGTTCTTCTGCGCGCTACCGACCGGCGTGGAATCGTGCGTGACGTTCGACAATCTGCCGACCGAGGCCATGCACGATTCGTGCAGGCTGAATTGTTTTTTGCTGGGCATCTGGACGATCACACGGTCGCCGCTGCGCTTCAGCACCGTCCCGCTAGTGCCAGCCGCGTGAATGAGGAAACCACCCACGCCTGGATACTTTTCCACACAGTGCACTATAGTCCCAACGGGCAAAGCACCGAGAGGATAGGCGTCTCCCTCGCGCGGTCGTACATAATTACGCGGTATTCCCATATGGGTGCGCAGCACGTCGCCCGGCTTCATGTTCTCCGTGGCCAAGATATATTTCAGCTCGCGATTCGTGCCGATCAACGCGACGAAAGCCGTTCTACAACCGTCTTTGAAGACCTCGAGGACTTTCTCCTCCTTGGGTGGCTCGTTCAGGTCTTTGGGCCCATCCCTGATCCAATTGATCCAATGGTATTTGTGCTTTATACCACCGCCGATGCCAATAGCGACTACTCTACCTGTTTCAGCGACATAAAGACTATTGATTCTCCCAATGATGATTATGCATCGCTTGGGACGAGGAGAAAGAAGGTAGATAACAGGCTTTATGACTTGATTCGGAATTCACGCGAAACTCGTTATCTTCCAGTAGTTTTCCACTTGTGCAAAGAAGTTATCGTATCGTCTCGAATAATTCGCCATATAAAACATATAGAAAAGTTCCTTTCATTCTTCTCTTCTTCTCATGTTGTTTATTTTTCAAAATTTAAACTTTATTTATCAAAGAATCAAATGCACGATTAATTGTAAAAATATCGTCTCTTTGTACACTGATGGGCAAAGTATCAATTTCTCTATGCCGGAACTTTGTAACAGCCTGATGGTGTAATGTCATGAATAATCTCTTCAAAAATGTACTACATCGATTTAAACAAATGACAATTTGAAAGAGTTATAACAGTGACTAAGTTAGTTTACCAAAAATTCAATATTCTAATAGATATTCACCATATTTTGCTTTATCGACTTGGTCAACATCAAGTCTAAATTTGCCACGAAGCAAAAGAAATTGACACAGTTCTATTGAAGAGAAACTTCTGCAGATTCTACCAATTATTATGCCAACAATGAGATAGGGATTAATCCATTCCACGGAATCTTTGCCAAGTTGAGGTAAGAAGACAAAATAAATAGACTATCTAATACAAACTTTATCCATACTAGCCATAACTAGCATGTTTTGAGGTTATGTCAACTGTACATCACGTCAAGCGGTTTTTTAGAGAACGGTTTTTTTGAAAAGACGTCGAAGCACTGGCATATGCGAACGAATAATTGTTAACTTTCAATGGTCTGCTGAGAGAGCGTTGAGATACATTTAATAAATATACTTTTTAAGCGTCTCCAGAAGAGTAAAAACTCCGCGCGGTTTGCCGTTCACACTTTTCTCACTTTGATGCCAATTTATCGTTTGATTTATAATGATACAAAGCTCCGGATATTATAATTTGACGAAGATGACATTGCAAGAACGATATTACCTCACGTACCTGTGACAGGATCCCTGCCAGCTAAATTTGTAACTTCCAACGGCTCTACCGTGTATTTGTCTTTGAAATGGACAATTCTTCGCCAACTTTTACCGCCAACGCCCGGCTTCGGTATATCCACGAACTTAAATCGATACCTCCTTGGTACTTGGTTTAACATTGATGTTGTTAAACCAACGAAATCGGTTATTTGTTTGCACAAAACGCGACGTGCCAGCATCACGGTAGACATATTGTGTTTACGTATCACAGGTGACGATGTGCGAGCCCCTATCGATGTCCGACCCTCGTCTTTTCGATAGGTCGATTATCCTATCGATATATTCAAATTCAATTAATCCTGTTTCGTCGCGGTAGATCCTCTCACTTCTAACACGATTTATTGAAATTTATTACCGTACATCATTGAGCACATGGCTCTTGTATGTATTTGTCGCATAAGTATATCTCATTTGAACTGCTTAGAAGTTTTTTACTGTGTGTTAATAAATCAAAATGAAGCGAAAGCTCATTTACTGTGCGATCACGCTAATCGAGAGCGGAAAGTTCATCTGATTTATCACTGTGTCATGATGCACAACATCGAATATTTACTAAAATTAATAAGGAATGGATGATGAAATTCATCAAATTTAGCTGAGACTCAAATCACATTCAGCTGAGATTCAAACCGTAAGACGAACGAATTATTCGCAACACGAGTCCCGAAGATTATACGTCAAAGTGTAGTTCCAAAGTCTCCGCTACGAGTCAGCACTGTTTCTACTGACAAATCGGTAGTAGTACGACTCAACGACAAAACGTTCGGTCTGTATTTTTCAAATATATTATATTTTTTCCCTCCTTCAATGACAATGAAATTTGCGAGCGACGCTAAATATTATTAAAAATAAAAATTTCTCTAGATAATAAATAATGGAACAAATTAAAGAATTCAATCGATCATTTCCGAACTTATGTATAAACAATAAGTATCAAAGATCCATCGAGATCGAAGCAACTTCATGATATACCTTGGCTAAACATAGCGCTCCGTTTTCGTACGATTCAATCAAATGAAATCTGTCACCTCCGCTTTGCTATCAAACGAACGAAAAGGGCAAAGGCTCATGTGGCTATCCACATCTCTCGCATAAATAAATATAGCGCGTGAAATTGGAGCAGATAGATTCAAATAGTTGTTTATCCGCGTAAAAACACGATTTCGCTCGCAGAACGCGATGCATCATTCGCGACGTTATTGTGACATTTCCCAAATCGCGACTCGCGCCGAATCCCACGCGAAGATACGTAGCCCAAAGAACAGAACCGTGTCGACAGTGCTCGTCATAATGAGGCTGAAGTTTGGTCGCGGCGCATAAACGCGACACGCGCCAATTAACCGGCGTTTCTCAGGACTTCGACGCGTAAATCCCGCCAAGTGATAACGAATAATAAACGTCGGGGAATACCGGTGTACTTCGTCGGTTTATTGTACACCTCCACCGCACATACACGCGGAAAACTACCACTGCGGCGTCGCGCATCGTCGGAAAAGCGCTCGCGCGAGCGAGCGAGAGAGAGTGAGAGAGAGAGAGAGAGAGAGAGAGAGAGAGAGAGAAAGAGAGAGAGAGAGAGAAACTACGTGCGGACGAACGAACGGTCCCGCGTAGAGAAACGGGCGAACAGGGTGGTAGAGGGGAACGCTTAATTGGCCCGGGGTAATTATTTTATTAAGTGAGAAGATGGCGGATGGAATGCTAAGAGAGAAAGCACACTGGTGCGGTCTGCCGACGAGGGAGCGCCAGTGAAAACGGCGGGGGCGGCAAGGTAGAGAAAGGAAGGGCGACGAGGAAGAGCCGGAGAAAGAGAAAGAGAGAGAGAGAGAGAGAGAGAGAGAGAGAGAGAGAGAGAGAGGGAGAGAGAGAGAGAGAGAGAAAGCGGCTGCGGGCGGGGGCGGACGGCGATGCGACGGCGGCGGCGGCGGCGGCGGCGGCGGCGACGGCGGCAGGTGACTGTGTGGAGAGAGAGCGTTTAAATACCTACGTAGCTACCCGCGGACGACTGTACTCCGCGGAACGGCAGTTTTCCGTGTAGGTGAACGCGACCGCAAGCTTCGCCGGTGTGCGTGAAGCCGTGTACGTATCTCGCGCAACGTGCACGCGCAATTCTCACCGTCACGCACGTTCATACCGACGCGAGGCCGCCTCTCCCACCGCGCGAGAGCGCGCCCCTTCGTCTTCCCGCCGCGGGAGAGAAAGGCGGTCTTCCGATGCTACAGCCGCGAGATAAAGCAGGACGGTGTACGCTTTTGCGCGCGCGTTCAACGTCTCCGCGCGCTGGTCGTGAAGGAGGAACATCTATTACCCGGTACATAGGCCAGAGGAGGCGGAGGTGCCGGTGGAGGAGAAGCAGGAGGAGAAAGGGGAACGCGGAGGTGGTTGGAATCGCCGAGGGAAGGAGGGAGGCAGGGGTGCGGGCAAGAGTAGTCGAGCGGCAAATTGTCCGCCATCTTACCCACCTTATACCTTATCTCACACCCTCGCCCGTAACCACCCTTATCCACCCCTTCCTCCGCTACCAACTCTCCTCCAACCAGACTCTCTCACCCTACACGCCAACTTCACTCGCTCTCTCCCCCCCCCCCTCTCTCTCTCTCTCTCTCTCTCTCTCCATCTCTCTTTCCCTTCACCCCCCGTGCCGCCTGGCCCGCCACTTTATCGTCCTCCTCTTCCTCCTCCTCGTCCTTCTCGTAGTCCTCCATCCCCTTCGTCTCTTCCTGTACGCCCTTTCTCTCGACGGCCCCCGCCGTGCCACCGCCTCGAAAGCTTTAGATTACCTACCCCTTATAAGCGCTCGTGTTGCCCATTTATTACCACGACTCCCGCGACTACCACGACCGAAAGACCAACCCCCCTCGCCTGCCGCGCTTCCGCCCCCGCGCTTTCCTTTCAGCCGCCGTTTTCCACCGTTCATACCTCTCTCTTCCTCCCTTCCTTCCTTGCTTCCTTCCTTACTTCCTTCCTTCCTTCGTTCCTTCCTTTCTTCCTTCCTCCAACCAGTTACCTTTGAAGACGCGCGTCTCGCCCGCGACTCTTCCTCCATTTCTTCGTTCTGTTCTTAGGCACCGCCGCGATCCTTATTAACGCTTTAACGCAACCATTACATAACTACGCGCGCCCGCTTCGCGACGAGAGGCTCAAATAACACGATTAGTCGAGTTTACAGAGAATTACGCGTACTAGAAGACCGCGTCTTCTCCCGCGAACGGCGCACCATTGCGCTCAATCCGTTTAGATTTAAACGCGATCGAGCTGTCGGTGAATGCTGCAGGAGTTAGCTAATAAACACCTTCGCTGTTTACGCCTCACATCCGCTGTTGCTTGCAATTGTCGCGAGAAATCGTCCTTTTTCCTTCTCAGTTCACTTCATCTTCGCCCTCTTCGTTTCGATTTTACGTTATTTATTATTTTCCTTTTTCTCGTTCGCCGGACTCTCCCACTTTTCCCGCCGAACATTTCGACCCCGAAATCGACCCTTCTTCGTTTCATATAAATAAATCCTCGTTTCTTATAAATATTCTTGGACAATGTCTCGATCAACGATGCGTGTACCTCACGCGTACTTTGCGCGCGTCGCGATCGCGACGGATCAACCTTCCCTGATCGATCATCTCCAGTTTCTCCGCTCGAGCGCGATTTTCCGCTGTTTGTTTCCGCTTCTGTTGTTCCGCCACTCCTACCCGAACGTCTACCCCATCCACGTTCCCTTTGTTGCGAGTGTGGCAACGTTTCCGAGCACCTCGCGGTCCTTACCACCTTTAACGCAACCATTACGTATCCACGCTCGCGGTTTACGACGAGAAGCACGAATAACACGATTAAGCGAGTCTACCGGCGAATTACCAGCGCGCGCGCGCGCGCGCGCGCTGCAGCTACGTCTATTCGGAGCGCGCGCTATTGCATCCAGACCGTTTAGAATCGCGAGCCACGAAGAGGTGGTTTTCTTCGCCGGGGAAAACCGGCTAGCCGGCGGAAGCGGCAGAAAGGGAGATTTACGCATCGAGGATGTGCCGCGTGCGCGCGCGATACTCTTCGCAGACGATACTAATTTCTCTTTGCGAATTACGTTCCGTATTTCGCGGCACATTTAACATTAAACGTACGTATGTCTGATCCCGCGGCTTTGTATATTTATATATATATGAAAATCATACGCGTAAATAGACGAAATGGCGAAGCGCGATGAGAATTAGACGGCTACATTTAGCGCTAAATACGCGTGGAAAATTCAAACGGGCTGTACATTTCCGGAGCGACGACAGCCTCGACGTATTATTTATTTTTCAATTGTGGCACAATTAACCCGTAGATGCCCCGCGTCACGAGAGAAATCGCGCGCTATCGTTCGCGTCGGGTGTGCATGCGTATGTATGTATTGTGTGTGTGTGTGTGTGTATGTGTTTGTGAAAGAGAAACGAGCTTGCGCTTTTCACGCGACCATTGAAATTAACATATCGCACTGTACGTATCTTGGGAGGACAGATGCTGCAACGGCTAAATTTCATGCACGCAGAAAAATATATACTGTATTCAATAGTGAATGATTTTTTACATACTTTTTAAGTTTATTTATGTGCAAATATCTATTGTGAATTTATTACAAAAGCATCAGATTTGTTAAAAATTCATTTTGGAATTTCAGCAGAACTATAGTGCGCTTCAATCAAGAATATTAGATTAAAAAAAAATTCAATTTGCTTCCTACATAAACTTTATGATATATAATCTTGAAAAGAGAGAAATTTCTTTTTTGAAAATAATCATTATTCAAAAAGAAAAGTAAACTGAGTAATCGCTCTTTTAGCAGTATAATGACGTTCTCCTCCGTGTAGGACGGTATTTCGTGTAACGATGATATTTTAATAATCTCGCAGAAAGAGATAAATCTTTTTTCACGCGAGAACCGAGAGGCGGTTCAACATTATACCTGTTATTAGAACGTAATAGCATAAACGACTATACGCTTATAACGTGTAACAAACACGCGAAATTACTATTTTTTAACAAAGCGTAATTAGCCCGCTTCTGAAGCGCGTCACGATCTCCATCTCTCTTTCTCGCGCGATAATATCGCGCAAGTTATTCCTATATTGATCGCGCGAGCAGCGGTATTTAATGCGCACGGCTCGGCGGTTTTCACGCGGGATTTTCGCCCGCTGAAAAATAACCCCGATATTAGACACGCGAGGAAAGTTCGAGGAGGCGAGAAAAAGCCCGAA